TGATTAAACTGACATTAAGTCCCAGAAAAAAAGTTGTCTTATTTAAGAATATATATCCACAAAATAAAGAAAAGAAAAGCCAAATGGAGCCTAGAACAATCATTAATTCCTAGAGCTGAGGCAATCAATCTAGACTTGCCAAATCATGCTAGACTTGAGTTGGACTCCTTTTTCAATTTATCCTCTGGGGTCTGGGTTTCAATGAATGTTACATGTAATTGGACGGTAGAGAGGGCGTCAGCGAAATATACTACTCAAAATCACCTGATTCTTTCAGATTACTATAGTAAATCTCTCATGTCATGACAGATTCACTTTACCATTATGAAAGAATCGGGTGATCCTTAACTTCTTTTGAGTAGTATATAATACAGTCCTAAGACCAATCTCTGCCGAATCTCTGCCCCCCCCCCCCCCCCCCCCCCCCCCCCCCAACACACACACACACACACAACCCCACACCCCCTACCACCAACCATCATGCCCCCCTACAAAGAAAAGCGAATTGCCAAATCATGTATCGTAATGTGAGTTGATGGTTCAAGAGAGGTGAATTGCAGAAATTGTGAGATGGCATTTCGAAAAATAGGAATCATCCGGAAACGAAGATAGGAATCGTGTAATATGTCACAATATAGGGACTACGGTACTGTGATCACGTGTGAAAACAAAAGGTGTTTTCGTTCATCAATGATGTATTCTGATGATAGCAGTGTAAAAAGTCATTGCGCAATCTCGTCACGCATATTGCACTTAGTCATCGGCAGGTGTATAGTCGTGTTTTGGATACATATACATATTTATGAAAATTGTTTGAAAATCAGAAAAAACGAATGAAGTTAATTCTTACTTGTTCCATAACAGACGCATTAAAGGAGAGCTGTCAAGCAAATTAACGTCACCTGCAGTATAATGAATATATCCACCAATTATATAACCCAGCCTAACCTACACACATTCAGTCTGTAGGCGTAAAGGTCTTTGTAAACACAGACAACATCGATATTCTCAGGTGTGAGCGAAGGCTAACATTGCCTTTAGCCTCATTTACCTGGACGGGAAGACTCTCAGCCAATCAAATCATGCCATAAGGGGTTAAGGTTCACTCAAAGGTCAATGTCGTCGCGATGTGTTTTGATGTGTTTTAGCGAATCGGTCTAGTGTCGAGAACATTGTTTTGTGCGTGTTTAATGCTACAGGCTTTTGTTTGTTATTTGCGTTGTTGGTTTAGGTTATCCTTTTGTAAATAATTACTTATTTTACCGGTGGTTCGTTATTCATTCTGTTTTCATTAATACATCATCGAGTTAACGTGCATTCACAGTCAGTGTGAACCAGTTTCTGTCGTCAAGATGTAGTCTGTCTTACAGACCCTGATACAAATATATCAACTACAGCCCATGCAAGTCTATAATGTTTGGCAAGTCTAGATTACTGCAGTATCAGGGAATGAAGATAATCACTGGGCTCCCTTTTTATTATATTTTTATTAAGATAACTGAGCAACTGTTTTTTCTGTACGATATGTTCATTTCAGAGACTATATGTTAGTCTAGTCAAGATGCAAAGAAGTGTGATGGCGAATAATTCCAAGGCATTTGATTGGCTAACCAAGAACATTGTTTTGCGTTTATGTTTCCATGGGCCTAAATGCAGCATTGCCAGACCCACGAGCGGACTTAAGTTTCCTGGTTTGCTGATGACTTGGTTGACAAGGCTTGTGTTGTATTTGAGCTTGACAATATCACTGATTAAATTTGGTTTGTCAATGCTATTTTTTTCTTAATCACTGGATTATTTAGTCCAGACTTGTCATACTGCTGCATGGGCGGATACAGCTTTTTTGAAAAGGGCGGGTGCACAATTAAGATCTATTTATTGTCTTTGGTGGTAATTTATACAGAAATAAAGATTTTTTTCTGTATCCGCCCATACTGCTGGAATATTGCGTAAGGTGTCGTAAACTACATCAAACAAAATCGATGCTCATGATATCACTCACTGGATTGTGTGATCCAGACTCGATTTTTTTAAACAACAAACAACCTACCATCATCAAGCAAAACATGGAATTATCGGTGTAATAAAATTGTCATATTAGTTTATGTCAAAGATCTTTTCTTTCAGTTTGCTTTTTGCGAACACCTGTTGTCATCACTGACTGTCAGTGGTCCATCCATATAGTTTTCGCCGCTGTTTATCCTTTTACGCCCTGAGCAGACTTTGATAGCCAAATTTGAATGAGTGAGTGAGTGAGTTGGGTTTAACGCCGCTTTTAACAGTATTCCAGTTATATTACGGTGTGTCAGCTTAATGTGGGAGGAAAGCCTGAAGTGATTCAGGCCTCAGACGTTTACCACTTCAGTGAAACCCAGGAGCACGGGTATGGTGCTGACAAACCTAGAAACATAATCAGGGCGAACCGGGATTCGAACCTACAATCATAGGTTTCTGGCGTGTCCAAGGGACGCAACTCTGCACAGCGAATCGCGGCGCCTTAGACGACTGGGCCAGGGTGCGGCGATAGCGGTCCTCAATGGCGGGGTCTTCCACTTCGCGACCTGTCTTCAGTGCTCCAAGTCACCCTGTAACTCTGCATCAACTTGGTGGTGGTCATCGTTTTTGTATAGTGCATCATTCGGAAGGTCCGGGGTTCGATCCCCGACCGCGTCATACCAAAAGACGTTAAAAGATGGTACTTGTTGTTACCCTGTCTGGCGCTCGACATTAAGGGGATAAAACAAGGACTGGTCGGCTCGGAGTCAGTATACTGTGCAATGCCGGGGCGAACCGGGATTCCAACCCACGGTCATACTTTCATAGGTTTCTGGTGCACCCAAGGACGCAACTCTGCACAGCGAATCGCGACGCCCCCTGCCACAATCAATCAGATTATCACAAATACTACTTTGATTGATACTTCACCTGAGAACACGTCATCGTTTTAGTGATTTGATCAGCTGCTGTATTGTCCTTTTACCCTTTCAAGTTTCATTCACAAATAAATTTTTCACTCTCAGCCAGCAAGTATTTTGAGTAAAGGGTCACCACAAAATGTACCAATCAACTAGGCACAGGTATATAAAAAAGAAGGAGTATTGTTAAGATAATTTCTGCGTCTTTGATCAGGCAGAGACAAATACTATTGATAACACCCCAACTATCAAAACATAATTTGCTGATCGGGGTATCAAAAATGGGCTGTATTTCCCTTCTATCAAAACATTCGACAATAATCTGTGGTTATCCATGACAGGCTGTCGTTAAAAACGGCCTCATGTCAGAAAAGTGCAATAGTGATGCAGGTCTCAGACGTTTACCATTTCGGTGAAACCCACGAGCACGGGTATGGTGCTGACAAACCTAGAAACATAATCGGGGCGAACACAATTTTCTGGCGTGCCCAAGGGACGCAACTCTGCACAGCGAATCGCGGCGCCTTAGACGACCGGGCCACCCGTGGCCCCCTGTGCTGTGAGTGGGGTATTCATCTTCAACTGCGGCGTGGTATCTCAGTTAGCTAGCAATATAAACTCGGCATTAGTCCGGACTAGTACACACACGCATATACGCACGCACACGCACACACACATACGCACGCACGCATATGCACGCACAGAAACACACGGGGGTGCATGCACGTCGCTATATTCTTGAACGAGGCGTTCAACCCATTTCACCTCCCCACCCCATAAACCATTCTCTGCGTGAAGCGGTGACAGCTACCAGTTATTAACGTCTGTTGAAATGACGCGAACGGGAATCGAAACCCCGACCTTTCGATCGCTCCCCGGGCAGACACTCTATCCACTGCACCATGGAGTGAGTGAGTATGGTTTTACGCCGCTATTAGCAATATTCCAGAAATATCACGGCGGGGGACACCAGAAATGGGCTTCACACATTGTACCCATGTCGGGAATCGAACCCGGGTCTTCGGCGTGACGAGCGAACGCTTTAACCACTAGGCTACCCGACCGCCCCACTGCACCATGGAGGCGGTCTCAGTTGGGTTTTGAGGGGAGGTGAGGTGAAATTGGGTTTATTGCACTTATATAGCGACGTGCATGCACGTGTGTGTGTGTTGCTGCTTGTACTAGTCCAGACTGATGTCGATTCATAGTGCTAGCGCACTGAGATACAATGCCGCAGTTTAACATGAATACCCCACTCAGACACAGTATACTGACTCCGAGCCGACCAGTCCTTGTTTTAGCCCCTTAATACCGAGCGCCAGACAGGGTAACAACAAGTACCATCTTTTAGCGTCTTTTGGTATGACGCGGTCGGGGATCGAGCCCCGGACCTTCCGCTCTCCGGTTTTTGAACTAGGGAGATATCTCAGTTAATCAAGCTCGATGGGTTGGTAAATTTCATTGCATCGTATCCAGCGTTGGTCGATCCTCGATGTTAAGCACTGGATTGTCTTGTCTAGACTATTTCTATGTGAGTGAGTGAGTATGGTTTTACGCCGCTTTTAGCAATATTTCAGCAATGGGCTTCACACATTGTACCCATATCGGGAATCGAACCCGGGTCTTCGACGTGACGAGCGAACGCTTTAACCACTGGGCTACCCGACCGCCCCCCCCTATTTATATGTAGCTGGAAAATGCGACGTTAAACACAACAAAGACTGTCATCATGACTACTTGCAAACCTCTTAATAAAACCTGAGAAAACACGTTTGTAAGTTAAAAGTCAAATTAATTCGAGAATGTTTTTAAATTTTTTGTAATAATAAAATAAATCAATGCTGGGTGATGATTAACCTTATAAAGTTTCTTATCAGTGTCGGTCATGACAACCTTAAAAAATCAATACTTGTTTTATTATTTTATTCAAATGCAAGAAGTAGCTAAAATTTAGATCTACGCGTATAATAAATTTATTGCGATTTTGCTGTTTTAGCGTTTCAAAAGCCGTTCAGACCAGCGATAACCGTGTTCTCGGACATCACGCGCAGCATTGAAACGCATCGCGGGTGTGTCTCTTCCGGTGTTTTTTGAGACTCGCCATAAGCAGTTAGGCCCTTCAACGAACACAACGACTAAGAAAATGGCGGCGGTAGTAACTCAACCAGCTGAAGGCAAAGGTGCCCAAATGCAAATGATTGCTCAGCCACCCCCGACTGTAATGATGCCACAAGGCTTACCCCCGGGTCTTGCATATCTTGGTGGTTTGCCTGAAATTAGGATTCATCAGATATTTGACATGCTTGAAGGTAAGTGACACAATGCAAATGCCTGTCGCAAAGTCGTTTGGTGGGTTTCTCGAAATTTGAGAACAGGTTATATTCACGAGATGACAGCTTTGTTTTTTGTCTAATTACGTGGCATTGGGGTATATTTTATCATATTATGATTGTGTGGAGTTCGGGAAAGGATCGCGAGGCCAGAACTCTCGCTGTCTTTGAGTTTGGGGTTTGACACGGAGTGCGTGTGTACGCGAGGCAGCTTACCGTAGTGACTGTCATGAACGTTGTTGATAAAATGGGTGTTAAGCTATTTGAATCGTTCCGTACACTCGGTGCATTGTATTAATTAAGGTCTCAAGACTCACTAGCAACACAATTAGTACGTGGTTTTATCACAATCCAGAAAAAGATCAGGAAATGGCCGTTCTTGAGTTTTGTATTGTTTACAAATTATGTCGCAATACGTTTTGTTGCGCGCTTACGAAATAATCCTGGATTAGGTCAGCCTGGCAACAGCGTTGCTGGGGTCATTGAGTGTATATTTTCAACTCTATAGCTGTCACTGAATATGGATATTATTTAGGAGTGTTCATATTTATCTAAGATTGCAGGGGCACACTATTTAAAAAACACCAGTTTTGACAGTTCAGGGATGGTAGCGGGTCAAAACGCCCTCATGTCAGAACCCCCTGCACAAAGTCCTAATGGCCACATAGAAAATAAAGAAGACTCAAGTATTGTGTCACATTAACTGTATTATATACATTGTGGAACAGATCGTAACAACATTTGCACACAGATCTTAATTCAGCAATACTTAGCATTAAGCCCTCACATATAAAGGGGCACCGATCTAAAGCAATTCCCCGGGACTGAGTGTTGCCTTTGTTATTGTTTATCCCCGTGAGTATCCGGAGGGTATAGCAGAAATATAGACTAGTTCGCGACCTGTGCTGTGCAATTCGTAAGCGCATTTATCACTTTTATTGATAGTATAAGGGCGTATGGTCACATTGATCAACAAAATGAAATAGTTTTTGGAAATAATAAGGAAATGTAGGTATCTTTGTGGGTAGCATCGGTAATGGTGACGACGTTTTGATAAATCACTTGCTTGGTAATTTACACTATTTGACTTGCAACACAAAGTAAATATTTCTCCTGAGCATTGCTTATTTTATTGTGTTTATATTTTTTAAGTCAATATTTGCATTAAGGAAATTCATTAAACGCCTGAATATTCAGTTATTTTACAAATTGAATGAAAATATGTCCCTCAGTATTATTATGGCAACTAATTCCAAACATTTTTATGTTTAATATCATCACCAAGAGGCTGAAAATATTACCATGAAAAGTACATTTCTATATTGTTTGGCTACTAATCCTACATAATAATCTATTGTGATGTTTTTCGGCCCTTTTGATCGTATTAATCAATTTAAGTCGATCTGGTAAAGAAATGGACAGATTTTTCAGTCAAAATGACTGAAATATTTACACATTTTATAAATTGCCTGAGAGAATCACATTTTGCAAACTGACTGTATTATATACACATGCTTACAAAGGAAAAGACTTGTGAAAACAACATCTATCGCACATCAAAGAATTTCCCAACCAAGACGTTGAGGAACCAGAATGAATCTGTCCAATGCTACAGCATATGAAGGAAAACAAAATGCAAATATATTTACAACCTATCAAATTTATGGGTATAGTTTTAGGCAGCTTCCTTGTTCGAGGAATGTATCCGTGAATATCCACTCAAAGGAACAATATCCCACACGTCTGCAGCTGTACAAAGAAACTTATTCCATGTCACGTGTATCTGTAACAATCAAATATTTTAAAATATATATATCGTTTCCGGATATTATAACCCGTGTTCGTTTCTCAACTGATCACTTAGATTGTTTCAGGTGTCTCACATAGGTCTCAGAGGTTGGCCGAGAAAGCCCACAATACAACTTTTTTCATAACGTCCACGGTTCCTAAAAAATCCATTGAGTTAGATAACGATGAGCAATCAATGAACGTATTATCAGTTAGCCCTTTCAACAAAGTATGTTGTTCTGACATCGGCACTTCACGCCATGATATCAGTGTATTGCCTTTGTTTTAGTATACCTAGACATGTAATCACTTACTTTTGACATAGCCACTGTGCAAGATAACAGTGATTAATCAATCAATGTATTTTCTGTTGTTGTTTTTTATTTACTAGGAACGATCTGTTGATTTACAAAAAAGTTGGTGGCCATATTGACTTTTGAGTTTTGAGACCGTTCTGACATGAGGCCATTTTTAACGACACCCCGTTGTGGATAACCACAGATTATTGTCTGATGTGTTGATAGAAGTGAAATACACCAAACCGCCCATTGTTGATACCCCGATCAGCAAATTATGTTTTGATAGTTGGGGCGTTATCAATAGTATTTGTCTCTGCCTGATCAAAGATGCGGAAATTATCTCAACAATACTTCTTTTTTTTATATACCTGTGCCTAGTTGATTGGTACATTTTGGGGGGCCCAGTCATCTGAGGTGCTGCGATTCGCTGTGCAGAGTTGCATCCCTTGGGCACGCCAGAATCCTATGATTGTGGGTAAGAATCCTGGTTCGCCCCGATGATGTTTCTAGGTTTGTCAGCACCATACCCGTGCTCGTGGGTATCACCGAAGTGGTAGACGTCTGAGACCTGAATCACTTCAGGCTTTCCTCCCACATTAAGCTGACACGCCGCGATATAACTGGAATACTGTTAATAGCCATGTTAATCCCAACTCACTCAATCTTTTAGTAGACTTGGAGCAAGGCTACTTAGAAACCTAGTTAACATTTCACATGTTCAGCGCTGCCAGGTGCAAATTTGAGTAAAACTAAGTCGATCGATAAACAACTTGAATAAATACGATAAGTTGTAGTTGCATAATTTCCTCCAGGTTCTGATTTACTTCTTGCTAGTGCAGATAATATTAATAGGTAATAATATGCATGACTTTGTTAACTTTTATCGCAATATCTCAACTCACATGATTTTGCCATTGTAAACACCAGCGGTATTCAGTGTTAGAAATTGACACTTGTTGTTTTGTCCTTGCAAAGTTTAGGTATAAAAATAAGAACTAGTAGATATTTGACATTTTTAAGTGTTTTGCTTTATGTTCTTATTATGAGGACTAGTGGACATGAAATATTCAGTTTCTGCAGCTGGGTATTGCACAGTATTGTCAATTTTTTATCTAGGATTTCAAACATAGTGATCTTGGAAGGGTGGGAAATTGGTATTTCGTTTAACATTGCATTTAATACAATAATGTCAAATTACATGGTCAGCTTTTTTCATTTTTGGTTGGGGGCGGTCGTGTCGCCTAGTGGTTAAAGCGCTTAAAGCGTTAAAATAACGGAGCTGTGTGTGATTGCGGGAGATTGCTGTGTTTGAATCGTTTCCATTTGTACTGCTACACCCTTGGGTGATCCCGCTACACCCTTGGGAGTTCCATGATGTTTTACGTACATATTTGTGTACTCGTGATTATTCATGACTTGAGAGTTAAAATTTGACCATGTGGGAGTCTGATACTGTGATGATGTCTGACAGAAGAAACATTGTTTTGAACTTTGCTCCCTCAGATTTTGTTGGTTGTGCGACAACAACTTGAAAGGACACTCACTATATTTACATGAAAATTTAATTTCACCTGCTGTCCTAACCCAACCCTTTCATGTACCATCTTCCCAAGGCAAGGGAGTTAACTGACTATAAGAGTAAAGTTACCACGGTTACCAAACTAGGCTTGAATTACGGGCTCGATCGTAGCTCACCAGTGGCTAGTGTGAATATGTCCCATCTATGACCCTCCTATTGACCAATCAGATTCCATCTCTCTGTTTTATTGTACGCTAAACAATGACCACAAGTCATTATGTTCGGCCTCTTTAAGGATGATGATCAAAAGTACAAGCAATGTTTTAATAATGACGACAGCCTCAATAGAATCCGACCTCGGCCATGTCGGGCAAGTCCGTTTTATGCACAGGTGGGTATTTCCCGCATATCCTCACAATCCTCACGTCAATTACCTGTACCTTTTCTCCCAAAACCGGACCGCCTCTGTGGTCTTGTGGTAGAGCGTCCGCCCGGAGAGCGGAAGGTCCAGGGTTCGATCCCGGGCCGCGTCATACAAAAAGACGTTAAAAGATGGTACTTGTTGTTACCGTGTCTGGCGCTTGACATTAAGGGGCTAAAACAAGGACTGGTCGGCTCGGAGTCAGTATACTGTGTCTGAGTGGGGTATTCATGTTAAACTGCGGCATGGTATCTCAGTGAGCTAGCACTATAAATCGGCATCAGTCCAGACTAGTACAAGCAGCCACACACACACATGCACGTCGCTATATAAGTGCAATAATCTTGGATGCGACGTTAAACCCAATTTCACCTCACCTCTCCCAAAACCGAGTGTCATATCTCGCCCGCTTTTGGATGCGTTCGTTCAGCCATCACGTTTATCTGAGTTGCTCAGCTGCATCTTCAGGAACAACTCACTGGACACTCCCTTCTCAAAAATAACGTTGTCCAATATACGATGTCTTGAAATTGCAAGCGCATGTTCGAATCTCCAGAAATGTTGTCATGATAGTACAATGATTTAGCATGAAAAAAACACTTCGTTCTTCATTGCTTTTTGCGATTTATCACATAGCTAATTTATATTTGTGACTATATGGCTGCTTGAATACCTTACATCATGAAATTAATGCGTCACCAAATCCATGCGAGTGTTGACTCCTGGCCTAAGCTGCATCCTTAAATTATGGGAGTAGCCCTTCCTTTGACATTTACGGTATTCGATGTAATAAACGCCCCGCTCTAATAAGTTCCCACGGCGATATTTGCTGATATATTGAACAATCCCAATTAGCACCCCTTCCGATTGATCAATGTACACAAGGGGGCACGGTGGCCCAGTCTTCTAAGGTGCCGGGATTCGCTGTGCAGAGTTGCGTCCCTTGGGCACGCCAGAAACCTATGATTGTGGGTCCGAATCCCGGTTCGCCCCGATTATGTTTCTAGGTTTGTCAGCACCATACCCATGCTCCTGGGTTTCACCGAAGTGGTAAACGTCTGAGACCTGCATCACTTCGGGCTTTCCTCCCACATTAAGCTGACACGCCGTGATCTAACTGGAATACTGTTAAAAGCGGCGTTAAATCCAACTCACTCACTCACTCAATGTACACAAAACTTATTTATTCGTGTATAATACTCATGTGTTATATGCACCCTTAATTATGGGCAATTAATTTCTGGAAGTAATTAGCAGTGTCTTCAGTGTAAAAAGTACTGCTAACAGCTTCAGTAGCAGAGCCATTAGTGATGTCATTTGATTGTGACGTCATGGTAACCAGTGACGTCACAATGGTCTGCAAAGCATTGTGATGTAATTTCATTGCAGCGATATCTACAGTGTAGATATCGCTTGATCTAATCCAAGCCATATCTCCTGTGGGAGCCAGTTTTGGATGATAAATGAGTTTGCGCACTTGATTGAACGTATATGAGTAGTGTTGTGTATTCACCTTGACTGCTGTTACTATGTTGTTTGTGATTATATGATTATTTGACAAGGTCACCAAGAGCATAAATGCTGTGTTGTTTCAGGAAACGAATGTTGACAAGTATCGTGTTTCTGGAAGTGAATGTTAAGAATTATTGTGTTGTTGAAATTGGAGGTTTAAAATGTATCACAATATTTTTTAGATGCACAAGGACGTATTGTGACATGTATCACGATACATTGTACAAATCTAAATTTTGAATTCAGAAGCAATCTGATACATTAAGGTATGAACTGAAGTTCATAAATGGAACTAAACAAATGCAACATAATGTTTACTCAGTCAATAAATATGAAGCCATCTTGGGGCCCCGTAGGCATGCTCCAGGGCTGTGTTTGTTTGTTTGTTGTTTAACGCCGCACTCAGCAATATTCCAGCTATATGACGGCGGTCTGTAAATAATCGAGTCTGGACCACACAATCCAGTGATTGATATCATGAGCATTGATCCATGCAATATTGGGATCGATGACATGCATCAACCAAGTCAGCGAGCCTGACCACCCGATCCCGTTAGTCGCCTTTTACGACAAGCATAGTCGCATGGGTTGCTGAAGACCTATTCTACCCCGGAATCTTCACGGGTCCCAGGGCTGTGAAGGCATTTGGCAAGTATATGAGTATAATATAAAAAACACTGTTTGAAGTCACCTGATAAATCAATGGAAAAATGATATTGTGATACGTATCATGGAAGGAATAAACCTCAATTTACCGACATACCGATAATACCACACAATCTTGGTTCAGGAAGTGAATGTTGTTTTGTTTCGTTTCAGTTGTTGTTGGCTGGGAGAGAAACAACCGTTACTCCATCTGCAACCCAGCAGAGCAGCAGTTCATGTTTGCGAAGGAAGGTAAGACTCTCACTGACCACACTAGGGGAGCACCGATGTACCACCAGACAATCCCAGACAAGATACACCAACAGATTTGCCAAATTTCCACTAACATGATTTACTGACGTATCACTAAACTGCCCCTGACTGTGCAATACACTATAAGCCTACCAAAGTAATAATTCTTTGTGTTTTCTATTTAAAAAAAGTTGCATTATAATCTGATAATCATTCTAATAAATAGTCCCAAATGGTCCGATCAGAATCAAGCTTACACATTTGTGAAAATGATGTAGTCATGTGGGCGAATTTCATTGGTTCTTGACCGTAACTTATAAACTATGGCCGAAGAGCACCGATGTACCACCAGACCATCCCAGACAAGATCAATCTCATTAAAATCAGATCTTAGTTCTTGCTACCGCTAAACAAAGACCTGAGGACACCCCATTACGGGTCACGTCAGAACAACCTTTCGCGAAATTTGACCGACCAATGAAATGACTGACAAGAAATCGACATTGGCCAGTCAGAAGGCAGCTTTCTCGAGCTTTTTGACACTAGTTTCAAACTGGTGACTTCACTTCGAAACATATTTTGACGTATTCTCGATTTAAATTTTTAAAACTGATAAGAAGAACATTCTGGAATGGCTTATAGATAGCCTAGATTGTATGGATATGATCATAAAACCTATAACTGTCGTTCTGAATACCCCGTGTTCACTTTCATGATCTGGTAAGCGACACTCTGATTGGTTAGATGAAAGGTCGCTCTGACGTGACCCTTAATGGGATGTCCTCAGATCTTTGTTCAGTGATAGTGAGAACTAAGATCTGATTTTAATGAGATTGAGACAAGATTCACCAACATATTTGCCACATTTCCACTAACATGATTTACTGACGTATCACTAAATTACCCCTGATGATGCAATACGCTATAAGCCTACCAAAGTACCATTTCATTGTGTTTTCTCTATCGATATTCAAAAAGTTGCATTATAATCAATCTAATAATTAGTCCCAAATGGTCCAATCAGAATCAAGCTTACATTTTGTGAAAATGATGCAGTCATGTGGGCGATTTTCATTGGTTCTTTACCGTAACTAATAAACTATGTCCGAACAGCAAAATCCAATAGCCGACAGTCGGGAAAATGTTCAGAGATAAGTAAAAGGTCAATTTCTTTTGGTCTTCAACACTGGCTAAACCATCTTCTGGTAATGCCAAGACGTTTGTTTATACTTCGAATGACTGCAGTAAGTTCAAATGGCCAACCACGGGTAACTTTAGTGAAACACAGAAAGTTTTTCATGGCACACCTGACAGTTACAGGTTGAGAAAGGTAGAAATTTTCAATGAACCTGGCTTCGCGAATACATGTGGTTACAGCATGACCCAGTAAAGAATACTATGTCATCAGCTTGGCATAAATCATGTGAATCTAATTCAGTGACAAAGCTAAATTATCATTTGGAAGGAGTACCTTGAAGAGACATGCTGCTGGTGATCACAAACAAATATATATGACATCGCACATTGTTGCGTTAGCACATAATGTTACCTGAGAAAGAAGCCATGGGAAACATTCTGTGTATCGCTAGGGTTGTCCGTGGGTGGGGATTCTGCATCAATAACCTCCTTCCCCTCTCCTTGTTCCACTCTACAACATCCTCTCTTTCTCTCTCCCCTCAATCCCTCCCCTTCTTCCCTCCCCCTCCCCCTCCCTACCCCTCCCATTCCCTCTAAAACATCCTCTCGTTCTCTCTCCCCTCAATCCCTTCCCCCTCTTCCCTTTCCCTCTCTTCCCCTTCCCACCATTCCCTCTAAAACATCCTCTCTTTCTCTCTCCCCTCAATCCCTCCCCCCCCCTCTTCCCTCCATTCCCTCTAAAACATCCTCTCGTTCTCTCTCCCCTCAATCCCTTCCCCCTCTTCCCTTTCCCTCTCTTCCCCTTCCCACCATTCCCTCTAAAACATCCTCTCTTTCTCTCTCCCCTCAATCCCTCCCCCTCTTCCCTTTCCCTCTCTTCCCCTTCCCTCATTCCCTCGAAACCATCCTCTCTTTCTCTCTCCCCTCAATCCCTTCCCCCACTTCCCTTTCCCTCTCTTCCCCTTCCCACCATTCCCTCTAAAACATTCTCTCATTCTCTCTCCCCTCAATCCCTTCCCCCTCTTCCCTTTCCCTCTCTTCCCTTTTCCACCATTCCCTCTAAAACATCCTCTCTTTCTCTTTCCCCTCAATCCCTTCCCCCTCTTCCCTTTTCCACCATTCCCTCTAAAACATCCTCTCTTTCTCTTTCCCCTCAATCCCTTCCCCCTCTTCCCTTTCCCTCTCTTCCCTTTTCCACCATTTCCCCTAAACCATCCTCTCTTTCTCTCCCCTCAATCCCTTCCCCCTCTTCCCTTTCCCTCTCTTCCCCTTCCCACCATTCCCTCTAAAACATCCTCTCTTTCTCTCCCCTCAATCCCTTCCCCCTCTTCCCTTTCCCTCTCTTCCCCTTCCCACCATTCCCTCTAAAACATTCTCTCTTTCTCTCCCCTCAATCCCTTCCCCCTCTTCCCTTCCCCCTCTTCCCTTTCCCTCTCTTCCCCTTCCCACCATTCCCTCTAAAACATCCTCTCTTTCTCTCCCCTCAATCCCTTCCCCCTCTTCCCTTTCCCTCTCTTCCCCTTCCCACCATTCCCTCTAAAACATCCTCTCGTTCTCTCTCCCCTCAATCCCTTCCCCCTCTTCCCTTCCCCCTCTTCCCTTTCCCTCTCTTCCCCTTCCCTCATCTTGAAACCATCCTCTCTTTCTCTCTCCCCTCAATCCCTTCCCCAACTTCCCTTTCCCTCTCTTCCCCTTCCCACCATTCCCTCTAAAACATCCTCTCTTTCTCTCCCCTCAATCCCTTCCCCCTCTTCCCTTTCCCTCTCTTCCCCTTCCCACCATTCCCTCTAAAACATCCTCTCGTTCTCTCTCCCCTCAATCCCTTCCCCCTCTTCCCTTCCCCCTCTTCCCTTTCCCTCTCTTCCCCTTCCCTCATCTTGAAACCATCCTCTCTTTCTCTCTCCCCTCAATCCCTTCCCCAACTTCCCTTTCCCTCTCTTCCCCTTCCCACCATTCCCTCTAAAACATTCTCTCTTTCTCTCTCCCCTCAATCCCTTCCCCCTCTTCCCTTTCCCTCTCTTCCCCTTCCCACCATTCCCTCTAAAACATTCTCTCTTTCTCTCTCCCCTCAATCCCTTCCCCCTCTTCCCTTTCCCTCTCTTCCCCTTCCCACCATTCCCTCTAAAACATCCTCTCGTTCTCTCTCCCCTCAATCCCTTCCCCCTCTTCCCTTTCCCTCTCTTCCCCTTCCCACCATTCCCTCTAAAACATTCTCTCTTTCTCTCTCCCCTCAATCCCTCCCCTTCTTCCCTCCCCCTCCCTTCCCCTCCTTCCATTCCCTCTAAAACATCCTCTCGTTCTCTCTCCCCTCAATCCCTTCCCCCTCTTCCCTTTCCCTCTCTTCCCCTTCCCACCATTCCCTCTAAAACATCCTCTCGTTCTCTCTCCCCTCAATCCCTTCCCCCTCTTCCCTTTCCCTCTCTTCCCCTTCCCACCATTCCCTCTAAAACATCCTCTCTTTCTCCTTTCCCCTCCCTTCCCCTCTCTTCCCCCTCCCCCCTTCCCCTCCATCCCCTCCATTCCCTCTAAAACATCCTCTCTTTCTCCCCACCACTCCCTCCCCTCCCTTCATTTCTTCCCTTCCCCCCTAAAACATCTTTTCTTTCTCTCTCTCCCCACACCTTCCCCCATTAAGTCTGAGATAGAGACTGACTGACTGACCCCACTGCATGTCTCTGGTTACAGACACCGACTGCTGCATGCGACAGATGTGCGGACCGATGCGAGAGTTCAACATGAACATCACTGACAACCAAGGCCAGCAACTTATCTCCCTTTACCGCCCCTACCGATGCCGCGGAAGTCTCCTCTGGTGCTGCTACCTGCAGGAGCTGGAGATTCAGTCTCCCCCCGGCCTGACCATTGGCACAGTCAAGGAGGTGTAAGTACAAGTCTGGGGTGGAGTTGCCCCGGTAACCTATTCTTGTAGTAAGAGTTCCAGTGGATGGGGAGGACGGGGACGGGGACGTGGTTGATTGCCTGTCACATCATAGCTAGCGGCATAAATCGGCTGCATATAGCTGAAGACCTGTGAAGGTCCGGATTAGAATAGGTCTTCAGCAACCCATACTTGTCATAAGAGGCTACTAATGGGATCTCGCTGACTTGGTTGATGCATGTCATCAATCTCTATTGCGTGGATTGATGGTCATGATGACAATCACTGGATTGTCTGGCTCAAACTCAATTATTTACAGACCAGCGTCATATATGTGGAAATTTGCTGAGTATGAGACAAGTATAGGTTGCTGAAGACCTATTCTAATCCGGACCTTCACAGGTCTTCAGCTATATGCAGCCGATTCATGCCGCTAGGTATGATGTAACAGGCAATTAACCACGTCCCCCTTACTACAAGAATAGGTTAGCAAAGCAGCAACTTATTTTGAAATTATAAACAGGCATTCCGTCAACCTTGCCAAACTCAACAATGACAGTCACATCAGGATCATTTGCCATCACACTTTCTTGTGGAAGTATCGTGGTATTTTTGAGTCCTATAAAGCCCTCAAACCCACATGACACCAGGTTGCAGGGACTAGATAAATAGTGTTTTTAAATATTTAACTTAAATACCCACATGTGTTAAAACTAGTGGGTAACAGAAATTTGAATACCCAGATAGAGTTACTGATACCCAATTATTTTAAAATGCATGGGTAAAATACCCACAACACCAAAAGCTTATCTGGAGCTCTGGGATGATACTGGTTGTTGTTGACAGATGGACCGCCTGGGTGCCCAAGTACCACGTGTACGACAACAACATGACGTTAATGTTCACCATCGTCGGGGACTGCTGCTACTGCAAGTGCTGTGCCGATGTCCTGTTCCGGGTAAGCCCATCTAACACACATTGTAGCTTCACGCCTCTATTCCAAGTGCTGTGCAGAGTTGCGTCCCTTGGGCACGCAAGAAACCTATGATTGTGGGTTGGAATCCTGGTTCGCCCCGATTATGTTTCTAGGTTTGTCAACACCATACCTGTGCTCGTGGGTTTCACCGAAGTGGTAAACGTCTGAAACGTGCATCACTTCGGGCTCTCCTCCCACATTAAGCTGACACGCCGCGATATAACTGGAATACTGTTAAAAGCGGCGTTAAACCCAACTCACTCACTCCAGGTAAGTTGCTCTGACACACATTGTAGCTTCTTGCCTCCAGTGCAAGTGCTGTGCCGATCTCCTGTTCTGGGTAAGTTGATCTGACACATTGTAGCTTTCATGCCTCCGTGCAAGACAAGGTCTGGGTTCGATTCCCACATTGGTACATGTGAAGCCTATTGTGGTGCCTCCCTCCATGATAGTGGATACGGATCCGCAGATTTCCATACCTGAAGGTTCACTTTTGTGACATATGCCATTATAATGTGTGCATAAGTCATATTGTCCCCAAGACCCCCAGCTAACTTCCATAGACCCGTGAAGTTCCGGGGTAGAATAGGTCTTCAGCAACCCATGCTTGCTGTGAAAAGGCGACTATGCTTGTTGTAAGAGGCGACTAACGGATTTGGGTGGTCAGGCTCGCTGACTTGGTTGATGCAAGTCATCGTATCCAAATTGCGTCGATTTGATGCTCATGATGTCAATCACTGGATTGTCTGGTGCAGACTCAATTATTTGCAGACCGCCGTCATAGAGCTGGAATATTGCTGAGTGTGGTGTTAAACAACAAACAAACAAACTAGCTTTCAGTATTGCTTGAATGTTGCTGAAATTGCTTTGAGCAGCATAAAACCAAACACATGCATCCACGCTAGACCCCAATGCTCGTGTGATAGAGTTCAATCTGATTATGAATCTTGGTTTGTCAGCATCATGCCCTTGCTTAAGGGTTTCACTAAAATTGTAAGTCTTGGACCTGAATAAAGGTAAGATGCTGTAAGGTGAGATGCTGTGAGGACCGGATTACTGTTCAATGCAGTGTTTATTAAAACTAATCATTCTTGAGAGCTGGTGACATTTTCTCTCACTGCGTGACAATAATGTACCTTAGTTTGCTTCCTGCAGTGTCATTGAGAGTGATCTCCCTTTGTTGTGCAGGTTCTGGAGGGCGACGAAGGCCAGGAGGTGGGGCAGATTGTGAAGCATTGGGGAGGCTGTCGGGAGATCTTTGGCGGCGTCAATGACTTCAGTCTCCGATGTAAGTGCAGATTACACGACTCTGTGACAGCCATCAGTAAGGCAGACATACTTGCAGATACGACCAGTGAAAAACACACACACACACACACACACACACACATTCAGATACACACACATACACACACACAAACACACACACACACAAACACACATTCAGGTACCAGACGTACATACAATCCACAGACACACATTCACAGTCAACCACACCCAGACACACATTCAGTCAACCACACCCAGACACACATTCACAGACAACCACACCCAGACACACATTCAGTCAACCACACCCAGACACACATTCACAGACAACCACACCCAGACACACATTCAGTCAACCACACCGAGACATACATTCACAGACAACCACACCCAGACACACATTCACAGTCAACCACACCCAGACGCACATTCACAGTCAACCACACCCAGACACACATTCACAGTCAACCACACCCAGACACACATTCACAGTCAACCACACCCAGACGCACATTCAGTCAACCACACCCAGACATACATTCACAGTCAACCACACCCAGACACACATTCAGTCAACCACACCCAGACATACATTCACAGACAACCACACCCAGACACACATTCACAGTCAACCACACCCAGACGCACATTCACAGTCAACCACACCCAGACACACATTCACAGTCAACCACACCCAGACACACATTCACAGTCAACCACACCCAGACGCACATTCAGTCAACCACACCCAGACACACATTCACATTCAACCACACCCAGACACACATTCACAGTCAACCACACCCAGACGCACATTCAGTCAACCACACCCAGACACACATTCACAGTCAACCACACCCAGACATACATTCACAGACAACCACACCCAGACACACATTCACAGACAACCACATCCAGACACACATTCACAGATAACCACATCCAGACACACATTCACAGACAACCACACCCAGACACACGTTCAGACAACCACACCCAGACACACATTCACAGACAACCACACCCAGACACACATTCACAGACAACCACATCCAGACACACATTCAGACAACCACATCCAGACACACGTTCAGTCAACCACACCCAGACACACGTTCAGTCAACCACACCCAGACACACATTCACAGACAACCACATTCAGACACACATTCACAGATAACCACACCCAGACACACATTCACAGACAACCACACCCAGACACACATTCACAGACAACCACATCCAGACACACATTCACAGATAACCACACCCAGACACACGTTCAGTCAACCACACCCAGACACACGTTCAGTCAACCACACCCAGACACACATTCACAGACAACCACATTCAGACACACATTCACAGATAACCACACCCAGACACACGTTCAGTCAACCACACCCAGACACACATTCACAGACAACCACATCCAGACACACATTCACAGATAACCACACCCAGACACACGTTCAGTCAACCACACCCAGACACACATTCAGTCAACCACACCCAGACTAACATTCAGTCAACCACACCCAGACGTACATTCACAGATAACCACACCCAGACACACATTCACAGACAACCACACCCAGACACACATTCACAGACAGCCACACCCAGACACACATTCACAGTCAACCACACCCAGACACACACACAGACACACATTCACAGACAACCACACCCAGACACACATTCACAGACAACCATGCACAGACACACGTTCAGCAACCACACCCAGACACACATTCAGTCAACCACACCCAGACACACATTCACAGATAACCATACCCAGACACACATTCACAGACAACCACACCCAGACACACATTCACAGACAGCCACACCTAGACACACATTCACAGACAGCCACACCCAGACACACATTCACAGTCAACCACACCCAGACACACATTCAGTCAACCACACCCAGACACACATTCAGACAACCATGTACAGACACACATTCACAGACAACCACACCCAGACACACATTCACAGTCAACCACACCCAGACACACATTCAGTCAACCACACCCAGACACACATTCACAGATAACCATACCCAGACACACATTCACAGACAACCACACCCAGACACACATTCACAGACAGCCACACCCAGACACACATTCACAGTCAACCACACCCAGACACACATTCACAGACATCCATCCTTGGTCTTGTGGTAGAGCGTCCGCCGGGAGAGCGGAAGGTCCGGGGTTCGATCCCCGGCCGCGTCATACCAAAAGACGTTAAAAGATGGTACTTGTTGTTACCCTGTCTGGCGCTCGGCATTAAGGGGCTAAAACAAGGACTGGTCGGCTCGGAGTCAGTATACTGTGTCTGAGGGGGGTATTCATGTTAAACTGCGGCATGGTATCTCAGTGAGCTAGCACTATAAATCGGCATCAGTCCGGACTAGTACAAGCAGCCACACAAACACACACACGTACATGCACGTCGCTATATAAGTGCAATAATCTTGAACGCGCCGTTAAACCCAATTTCACCTCACATCCAGACACACATTCAGTCAACCACACCCACACCCACATTCACAGATAACCACACCCAGACACACATTCGCAGACAGCCATACCCAGACACACATTCACAGTCAACCGCACCCAGACACACATTCAGTCAACCACACCCAGACACACATTCACAGTCAACCACACCCAGACACACATTCACAGTCAACCACACCCAGACACACATTCACAGTCAACCACACCCAGACACACATTCAGTCAACCACACCCAGGCACACATTCACAGTCAACCACACCCAGACACACATTGTCAACCACACCCACACCCACATTCAGTCAACCACACCCAGACACACATTCACAGACAACCACACCCACATTCAGTCAACCACACCCAGACACACATTCACAGTCAACCACACCCACACCCACATTCAGTCAACCACACCCAGACGCACATTCACAGACAACCACACCCAGACACACATTCTGTCAACCACACCCAGACACACATTCTGTCAACCACACCCAGACACACATTCTGTCAACCACACCCAGACACACACACACATTCTGTCAACCACACCCAGACACACATTCACAGTCAACCACACCCACACCCACACCCACATTCAGTCAACCACACCCAGACACACATTCTGTCAACCACACCCAGACACACATTCTGTCAACCACACCCAGACACACATTCAGTCAACCACACCCAGACACACATTCTGTCAACCACACCCAGACACACATTCTGTCAACCACACCCAGACACACATTCACAGTCAACCACACCCAGACACACATTCACAGTCAACCACACCCACACCCACATTCAGTCAACCACACCCAGACACACATTCACAGACAACCACACCCACACCCACATTCAGTCAACCACACCCAGACACACATTCACAGTCAACCACACCCAGACACACATTCTGTCAACCACACCCAGACACACATTCACAGACAACCACACCCACACCCACATTCAGTCAACCACACCCAGACACACATTCACAGACAACCACACCCACACCCACATTCTGTCAACCACACCCAGACACACATTCACAGACAACCACACCCAGACACACATTCAGTCAACCGCACCCAGAGACACATTCTGTCAACCACACCCAGACACACATTCACAGTCAACCACACCCACACCCACATTCAGTCAACCACAACCAGACACACATTCACAGTCAACTACACCCAGACACATATTCAGACACACATATTCAGACACACATTCACAGTCAACCACACCCAGACACACGTTCACAGACACACATTCACTGACAGCCACAATAGACACCAGTTCACAGACACACGTTCACAGACACACATTCACTGACAGCCACAATAGACACCAGTTCACAGACACACGTTCACAGACACACATTCACTGACAGCCACAATAGACACCAGTTCACAGACACACGTTCACTGACAGCCACACATTCACTGACAGCCACAATAGACACCAGTTCACAGACACACATTCACAGACACACATTCACAGACACACATTCACTGACAGCCACAATAGACATCAGTTCACAGACACACATTCACAGATACACGTTCACAGACACACATTCACTGACAGCCACAATAGACACCAGTTCACAGACACCAGTTCACAGACACACATTCACAGACACACATTCACAGACACACATTCACTGACAGCCACAATAGACACCAGTTCACAGACACACGTTCACAGACACACATTCACCGACACACATTCACCCATTCCTTCTACTTTCAGTTCCCCCCAACATGGACGTCTTGACCAAGTCCATTCTACTGGGCGCCACCTTCCTCATTGACTTCAACTACTTTGAACACCAAAAGAACTAGATTTGAGGTTCCCATGGGAACAGTTGCCAAGGCTTCAGAACAAGACCTCAATATTTTATTTTGTATAAAGACGTACAGTTTCAGTTGGTCATGGCTTTCTATCTCCGTCAATGCACCGTGGCCACTTCATTCAGGATAGCAACATGGATTGCAATATGTATAATCTGGGTATAACTTGTGTTTAATTTTTCACGAATAATAACAGCTAATATTCTGTCTGATATTCTTTTCATGCAACAGTGCTGGAAATTAAACATGATTGTCAAAGGTTCTTTGCCATAACCCTAAAGATAGAATTCAAGATTTTGGAAAGCCTTCGTTCAAATACTAAGAGAACAACCCAAGGCTCCAGGAGCCCTCTTGCACAATGCGATCTTAGCGCTAAGACTATTGTATGCCTATGTTAATGTATGGGAGTTACAATAGTCTTAGCGCAAAGATCGTTTTGTGCAAGTGGGACCAGGAGCCCTCTTCGAACACTGTACATGTTATTTGACACGTTATTGATCCACGATGAAATTGATGGACATATTGTAATAAAGGTCTGATGTTTTTCAGCTTGTATATGTAAACCTTATAGTGCCTCATAAGGTAGCTAGGTTTGTATACTTCCCAGGGAGATGAGAACGAAATTTGAGTGCAAAAATGTCCGTTAATTATTATTTTTATATCTGGTAAATAATGATAACCTAGATGCATGGTAGCATCGTGTTTTAGTATCACAGTTAGTTATGTTCGCCTTAACGAGCCTTCGAACCATCGGTCCATTAGCCAGGAGAAATGTCATTTATTATCGGCTCCCTCTTAATGAAATTATTGTGGATATTTTACAGCATAATTTTACAATATTTTATATGTTCATATTTTTATTATTACATTTGGCATAATGTTTCTTGTCTTAATCAGTTGTGTGACCTGTTCTTTGTATCATACTGAATTTGTATTTCATGTTTTGTTGTGTTGTATATTTCTTCAATGAACATGTATATAAAGGGATCGTCTGATTGCTCCATTGTTAAAGTATTTTAGATTGTTTTAGACATGTCCTTTTACAGGGGGGGGTGTGTGTCTTGAAGTTCACCTTGCTTTAGTGGTACCTTGCCGAACATATCAGGGATGTATTTAGGATTCCAAACCCAGTGCCGTAAAAGGTGACTATGCTTGCCGTAAAAGGCGAATAACGGGATCGGGTTGTCAGGCTCGCGGACTTGGTTGATGCATGTCATCGATCCCTATTGGTGGATCGATGCTCATAATCACTGGATTGTCTGGTCCAGACTCGATTTTTTACAGACTGCCGTCATATAGCTGAAATATTGCTGAGTGCGGCGTTAAACAACAAACCAACCAACCTAACCCAGTGCCTCTTGCAGGCAAATTTGGAAAAATAATTGATAAATGTTCAAACCTGCATTTTCATTATGTTCTTATAAATTGGGACATTTTAATTTTTAGCTTTTTTTTGCTGCAGATGTAGGTTAATCCCTGTGTTCATTTGTTTGTAATCAAGATTGACATTTATTCCATGTTCAGATAGATGTGGCAGACATCTTAGAAACATTGTGCATAATTGTTTTAAATAACATGTTTCAATTTTTATTGAACTTTGAACTTCTTCATTTTCACCCTTTGTAGAAGAGATGACAATCAATGAAGTCTTTTGTCCAGTTGCTTCTTACAGTAGTTTAATTCACAGCTCAATTCACTGCTCAATTCCTTCTGAAGAATGTGGTGTTGATGCTCAACAGTGTCGATTATTTCTAGTACAGAGGACATGGAATATCTTCATCCCTGTCTACAGGACATTCAATGTCAGGACACGCCATCATCTGATGAAAATGACTGATTTCTCATATCTGTTGTTCTGACGTTTCAAGAGTATAGACTACCATGCTTCAAATCCCCATACTCCTTACCAGGCCATCTCGTTACCAGGTGTAGCTATACCATCCACATGTGGAAATAGTGTAGCTGTATACCATCCATACGTGGAAATAGTGTAGCTATATACCATCCATACGTGGAAATAGTGTAGCTATATACCATCCACATGTGGAAATAGTGTAGCTATACCATCCATACGTGGAAATAGTGTAGCTATATCCTGTATATACCATCCATACGTGGAAATAGTGTAGCTATAAACCATCCATACGTGGAAATAGTGTAGCTATGTCCCGTATATACCATCCATACGTGGAAATAGTGTAGCTATAAACCATCCATACGTGGAAATAGTATAGCTATATCCCGTATATACCATCCATACGTGGAAATAGTGTAGCTATAAACCATCCATACGTGGAAATAGTATAGCTATATCCCGTATATACCATCCATTCGTGGAAATAGTGTAGCTATATCCCATCCATATGTGGAAATAGTGTAGCTATGTCCCGTATATACCATCCATATGTGGAAATAGTGTAGCTATGTCCCGTATATACCATCCATACAAGGAAATAGTATAGCTAAATCCCGTATATACCATCCATACGTGGAAATAGTGTAGCTATGTCCTGTTCAGTAGGTGGAAGTCTGTGGCTATATCCTATATACCAGCCGTTCATGGAAATAGTGTAAAACTGTGTCCTGTATACAATCCTTACAAGGGAAAAGGATATATATATATATATCATGTACTGTATGTAGAAATGTGTGTACTCTGTATGACATCCATATATGGGAGCAATGTGATGTATTCCTGTGTACCATGTATACTGTAAATCTTGAAATTAACACAAGTTTGAACTAAATGCAAGTGGTCTTTGCTCGCATTATTAAACATCGCATTGATATCAACAATAAGACATTTTGGGTAGCAGAAACACCAACTTAGACATTCGCTGAAACAACTATGTAGTCGACATCACTGTTTATTGAGCAGCACTTGTAACAAGTATCTAAACAATGTCATCCTGTGAATTGTCACTACTGGGGTCAAGACAAGAGTTCTGATCACACCTCCAAGGCCAGACAGACGCCACCCACGCAACATGGTGTCTTTGTGACTGCGTCAAAGGCCGACATGAGCCAGCGCGCATGGATAGGCTTCATCACACTAATTTTTAGATCGACAGCCTTCGTCTTGTCACTCGCCTTCAAGTTTGTTGACACTTCCTTCCTTAATACCAGTCAAGAGAATAGACACAAAAAGTATCTGTTGTTCTAAGGAAACACAATGTATTGTTTTAGCGGAAGTACTGTACTCGTTGCTATTTGGTGTGTGATTGGATTAAGGTGAGGATTCTCCTGTTAACCTGACAGAAGACATTTTCTTTATATATCAATCCACTGATGTGTGAGAGGAGGGGTGTCGCATTCATATTGAGTCACATTTTTGGCTAGGGGCCAGCGGTCGCATTCTTTTGGAGACGCATTAATTTCACGATTTACAGTATATGTGCAGGTAGTGTTGTATTCCTATGTCCAGTACAGCCTAGTGTTCCTTCAGCTCAATGTGTTTCCTTCATTCTTTACCTGGGGGGCACGGGTGGCCAAGTCGTCTAAGGCGCCGCAATTCGCTGTGCAGAGTTGCGTCCCTTGGGCACGCCAGAAACCTATGATTGTGGGTTCGAATCCCGGTTCACCCTGATTATGTTTCTAGGTTTGTCAGCACCATACCCGTGCTCGTGGGTTTCACCGAAGTGGTAAACGTCTGAGACCTGCATCACTTCGGGCTTTCCTCCCACATTAAGCTGACACGCCGTGATATAACTGGAATACTGTTAAAAGCGGCGTTAAACCAAACTCACTCACTCACTCATTCTTTACCTGTATTGTCTAGGGTTGAAACGATACATCGTGAGCTTTCATGTGACATACTTTACACGATACGTCTTTTCTGTATCAATACAATATATACTTGCTGAAATAAATTACTTACTACTGTTTAATACTCCCTGCTGTTTTTGTCAGTCAGATATCGCAAGATGTGATGTAATTCGCATAACAAGTTCACTTCTAAAAATAGCCACTACGAACTAGTGTCTACAGCAAAATTTTCCTTTTGAACCTGCACTGAAATATTTATTTGCAAGATGTTTCCATGCAATTTGACGTAAACAGGCGTAGCGTGACCTTGGTGTATCGTTTCACCCCATAAGTGAATTTTGCGTTTAGGTTGATGGTGACAAATTCTGAGTTCTAGAGTTCTAATCTTGTGGGACTAAACTCAGTGATTTTGTCCAGAGCATGTGCTCATATCACTCAGGCTGTAATTATATGGTTGCAATATCGCGAAGTACAGCATTGAACAACAAACAATCTGGAATGTTCAACCGGTGGTCTGTTGTTATCCCCCCGGCATATAATGCGGGGTTATATAGCGATCAGCCAGTCTGTGCGTCTGTCATCATTTCCTTTTCTGGGGCAGAATTCGAAAACCATTCAGTGTATTTGATCAAAACTTGGCAAATCTATCAGGCACATACTGAAGTGGTGCTTTTGATATTTTGGGATTTTTCTAATTTTTATTTTTTTAAATTTTTATGGAATGAAGTTGGACATAGACTCAATTGGGGATGGGGTTCGTTTCCGGGGCAGAATTCGAAAACCATTCAGTGGGTAAACAATGTATGCTTCTTAAAGAACTGTTGACTCATTACATACAGAATTGCACATTTACTAGTGGTTACTTTACAGACAGTTGCCGGGGGATATGTCATCTTTCTGATGACTCTTGTTAAGATTAGCTTCTTGTGGTGTCCCGTGCTGTGATGTGGCAGGAATATTGCTCACTCCTCATTCACTTATTAAGGGGAGACAAAGGATCTACTAACACCTACTGACTTACTCATTGATAAGCAAAGATGTGTAAGAGTGATGTGCTTTTATTGGTGTTCATTGTATCAGCATTTTGTACATATCATTTAACTACCTCAGGTGTTACTAACCACCCAAGGTCACTTAAGCCATCCTTGAATAACTGAGCCACCACAGAACACAATGAGACCACTCAACCACACTAAAAACCACATAGCGTCTTCAGAATCGGACATTTTGGAAAAGAAACAAATTTGAAATGTTATTTTGCAGTTTGTTTTTTATGTTAGTTCTTTGCACACAGGGCATGGGTTGCCCAGTCGTCTAACATGCTACGATTCGCTGTGCAGAGTTGCGTCCCTTGAGCACGCCAGACACCTTTGATTGTGGGTTCGAATCCCAGTTCTCCCCGATTATGTTTCTAGGTTTGTCAGCACCATATGGGTTTCACCGAAGTGGTAGACGTCTGAGACCTGCATCACTTCGGGCTTTCCTCCCACATTAAAGGGCAAGTTCACACGGAAATTAACCTATTTTTCTTGTACTTTTTCCACATTAAAAGTGTTAACCTAGAAGTGTCATAGACAAAAATATAAAAATATCACAATTAATTAACATATTTTTCGCATTAAAACGATTTATATTTTTCACATTTACCAAGTGTTCTATTTCCACAACAAAAACACCATGGCTTATGCCCCTTGAAATATGACGTCATTGGTGCCAATTGATAAACATTATGACGTCATCATGCTTTGTTAGAGCCGCTTCACGTGGTGTAGGTCTAGGTGTGTGATTCTAGCGTCTCAGATGCCAGCCAGCATAGTGTTATGCTGAGTCACCACTGCGCCGGAGTGTGTCGTAGGCCATGTTGTTTTACCGCAAACTGGTACTTGATATCTTTTGCGTTGAGAATAGACAGGGACCCAGTTGAATTGGCACCAATTACGTCATAATCTAAGGGGGATAACTCAGGCCTGTTTAGCTCGAAAAACGAAGGCCTCATAACGGCATATCATTTTCACACTATTGTGAGCTTCCTACTTTCACTGTGAAAAAAATGAGTGTATATTTTCAAACACAGATACTAATTAATTCTAAAATTGCGTTTTGTTTAGAAAAAGAAAGAAAGTGATTTTTGCGTGTACACTTCCCCTTTAAGCTGACACGCCACGATATAACAGGAATACTGTTAAAAGCGGCGTTAAACCCAACTCACTCTTTGCACACAACCCCAGCTTCAGTCTGGTGATCTCATTAAAAAGGTACCCTGGAGATCTGAGGTCAACTCGATTGGAGGTCACGTGAGGTGAACTTTCTGATCAGCCAATCGGTGTTCGAGGCTCCTAAATTAAGACAACAAAGCTTTCAGAAAACAATCTTCAAACTGCAAGAAAATCAAGCCGTGCCAATATAGTTCTGTTATTCACCTGGTCATTTCTGAGCAACTGAATATTTGATGTGTTGTTTATTTGTACAACCTGAAACAAAGTTTTTGTAATCTGAACAAGAACCCACGTACCCTTCATTTAGATGAGGCAGTCGGAGTTCACTCTGGCGCGACCTTCTGTGATTGTTGGTGACAATGGCATCTAGAAATGTTGGTCCACTCGAACCTGTTTGCTTACTTCTGTGATTGGATCAGAACAATAAACTTAAGTTGGCATTGTGTCCTTTGTTGCTACTGACTGGAGAGAGACGGCCACTTCAGTTTAGTCAACGGAATGGTTCTAGCAAGAGTGCTTTCAGTTTACATCACACAAACAATATATATATATATATATATTGCACTATTGAAGCAGGCTTCCTTTGAACTAATGCACTGAACACGCCAGATCACTTCTAAGTGTTTGGCAGACATTGGACCCCAGTGGGTCATCTGCGAGTGAGTATGGTTTTACGCCGCTTTTAGCAATATCAGGGCTGGGGTCACCAGAAATGGGCTTCACACATTGCACCCATGTCGGGAATCGAACCCGGGTCTTCGGCGTGATGAGCGAACGCTTAACCACTAGGCCACCCGACCGCCCCTGGGTCATCTTTGGCACAGCATGCATATTGGAGACGTGGTGCAGGACAATATTCACTCCGTATTACAGGTGTATGGATCCACAACATAATTTCGATAGCTTACTTTTGAAATTCTAAGCTACAGTATGTGTGGAGGTAGTGTGACATTGAAATTGGCAAACCTAGGTCCCACATCAAGTCTCCCTCCTGTGATATACATCTGAAACACTGTTCAAACTGGTGGACCTGCTGTGGCATAAAACTGAAACACTGTTCAAACTGGTGAACTTGCTGTGGCATAAAACTGAAACACTGTTCAAACTGGTGAACCTGCTGTGACAACAAACTGAAACACTGTTCAAACTGGTGAACCTGCTGTGACAACAAACTGAAACACTGTTCAAACTGGTGAACCTGCTGTGGCATAAAACTGAAACACTGTTCAAACTGGTCAACCTGCTGTGGCATAAAACTGAAACACTGTTCAAACTGGTCAACCTGCTGTGACATAAAACTGAAACACTGTTCAAACTGGTGAACCTGCTGTGGCAACAAACTGAAACACTGTTCAAACTGGTCAACCTGCTGTGGCATAAAACTGAAACACTGTTCAAACTGGTGAACCTGCTGTGGCATAAAACTGAAACACTGTTCAAACTGGTCAACCTGCTGTGACATAAAACTGAAACACTGTTCAAACTGGTCAACCTGCTGTGGCATAAAACTGAAACACTGTTCAAACTGGTCAACCTGCTGTGGCATAAAACTGAAACACTGTTCAAACTGGTGAACCTGCTGTGACATAAAACTGAAACACTGTTCAAACTGGTGAACCTGCTGTGACAACAAACTGAAACACTGTTCAAACTGGTGAACCTGCTGTGACAACAAACTGAAACACTGTTCAAACTGGTGAACCTGCTGTGACAACAAACTGAAACACTGTTCAAACTGGTGAACTTGCTGTGGCATAAAACTGAAACACTGGTCAATCTGGTCAACCTGCTGTGATATATAATTGATAAATGAAACTAAACTTACCATATTACAGGTGTATGGATCGACAACATAATTTCGATAGCTTACTTTTGAAATTCTAAGCTACAGTATGTGTGGAGGTAGTGTGACATTGAAATAATGTTATTATAAGGACTAGTGGGCTGAAACTGTTAGTTTCTGTCGTTGTAAGTGTATGGAGAGGGGAGAGACGACAAACGGGAGCCCAGCTGCCTCGAATGTTATCTGCCCACCACTTAACATCTGCTATGCTAGAGTCTGATAGTCATTAGAGTTTCAAATTTTCCCAATGAAGATTTCAGGGCAGTGTCCTTTTCCATTTCTAACTGCTTTGTTAGTGACCAGTGAGTGAGTGAGTGAGTGAGTGAGTGAGTTGGGTTTAACACCGCTTTTAACAGTATTCCAGTCATATCACGGCGTGTCAGCTTAATGTGGGAGAAAATTCCGAAGTGGTGCAGGTTTCAGACGTTTACCACTTCGGTGAAATCCAAGAGCACGGGTATGGTGCTGACAAACCTAGAAACATAATCGGGGCGAACCAGGATTCGAACCCACGATCATAGGTTTCTGACGTTTCCAAGGGACGCAACTCTGCACAGTGCATCGTGGCGCCTTAGACAACATCTCCAATCCAGCTTTTCTGCTATTGATATTTTCTACAAATCTTGAATAGTGCTCACCCTGAAGATAGGATTCATCAGTATAAGCAACAGATAAATACCTCTCCTGGTGCAGATAGCTATACACAGGTTATTACAATTTTGTGAACACCGGGTTACATGTTAGTGAGTGAGTATGGTTTTACGCCGCTTTTAGCAATATTCCAGCAATATCACGGCGAGGACATAATAAATGGGCTTCACACATTGTACCCATGTCGGGACCGAACCCAGGTCTTCGGCGTGACGAGCAAACGCTTTAACCACTAGGCTACCCGACCACCCCTTAGGCATGTTAGAAGCCTTAGTGCTCACCTCTTCACTGTTTAGTACTTGAAATGCCTCTTCCCTTGAGACTGCCCCCTGGCATTGTTGTAAAACAGCGGACGAGGAGACTGCTGGTTGATGCCAAAAACGTACCTCCACGGTCTCGGGGTTTGAACTTGCCTCCCTACATCTTCAGGGGGCTGAACCGGTAATTAGGCGCCACAATTGCTGCTCTGGTTTACCCTGCCCATCATGTTGTTTGTCTCTGACAAATCTTTAATCTGTTCAGCTACATTGTCTCCAAATTATCAGTCAATGGTGTATTGTGAGCACACAAAGCCTTACACTCCAGCTTGAAGTCAAGTCTTATAGCATCCCGACGCCGCATGCTAAGTTCATAATATGCTGCAGCTAATACAGCAACTGCATCAACCAGAGTAGCTACAACATCAAGAATATGAATGTCTTTCGTGTCCTTTGAACAGTGTGTTCACAACTTCAGCAACTGGAACATGGCCCTTGCAAATAATGTCTTGCACCTTTTGAGCTTTCACATCGCGGGATCTACTGGCTGGCTACATGATTCTCCACATCTCTTTGGGCGAGGACAATTAGAGTGAGTATGGTTTTAAGCCGCTTTTAGCAACATTCCAGCAATATCAAGGCGGGGGACACCAGAAATGGGCTTCACAATTTGTACCCATGTCGGGAATCAAACCCGGGTCTTGGGCGTGACGAGCGATTGCTTTAACCACTAGGCTACCCGACGGCCCCTAGGACAATTAGAAGGAGAACTGGTAAACCAACGGCTCGCTGACTTGGCTGACACATGTCATATTAGGCCAATTGCATGAATCGATGCTCATGATATCAATTACTGACTGAGTATGGTTTTACGCCGCTTTTAGCAATATTCCAGCAATATCACGGCGGGGGACACCAGAAATGGGCTTTACACATTGTACCCATGTCGGGAATCGAACCCGGGTCTTCGGCGTGACGAGCGAACGCTTTAACCACTAGGCTACACGACCGCCCCGATATCAATTACTGGATTGTTTGGTCCAGATTTGATTATTTACAGTGCCATCATATACCGGTAGCCGGAATATTGCTGACAACAAACAAACAAACAAGCCACTTCCATAAAGCACAGAGCCAAGTGTGACATTCAACATTTTATTACAATCTGTCTGTTCACTGGAACATGGGAGCTGATAATAACATGAGTCAGGTGATATTACAATACATGTGGCGGTGGCGGCGGCGGCAACGCCACGGTGGAGCGGAGCGGGGCTATGTGACGATGACGTGAGAGAAGAGACGTATAGAAGCAGAGTTAAATCGCCACAACACCTCGCTACCAACAACACGACCTTGATCTGACAGACTTCCTCGTCCATCACGGACACAAACACAACATCACAAGGCTGATTAGTACATCCTTATCAGTTTACAAAAAACTGATTAGAAAATGTGAAGAAACAAAGAATAAAAATGACAATTTTAGGGGCCAGTTGTTTCACATTTTGTTGAAATATATGTATCAGAGAATATCCAACGCTTTGTACGAATTACTGTACGAATTGGTGAATTACATTAAACGCAAACAAATATGTATATTGTAAATATTGTTTCTCTTCCCGTGCAAGAGGGTGCTATGATTACATGTTTTACTCATTCATCATTAGTTAAGTTAATTTGGACATGAAGTTGAATTTCTTGAATTTTTTCAATCTTCTACACTGATTTTTTATAAATAACTAATAAAAAGGTACAAAGGGACAAAACATAAAAAGAGAATAGATCCAAAATTCACACTTTGGTCTTATTGCTTTTGAATTGAACATTTAATCTCTGTTTGAATTGAAGGCATTTCTTAAATTTTTGTAACACATTTTTTCAAATTTTCAAATGTATATAATCTCCCCATTTCAATAAAAAAAAAAGAAGGAAGTATTCCCAAGCATTCAAAAGTCATGGTTGCATGTTCCCCATTAGAAACGATGTTATCCAAATTCATTTTCTCATGCACGGAAAATACAAATTTCATTTCCAAGCAACTCATAAACAACATAAATTGATAAGAAACTGAGGATTTCCAATACGGCTGAGGAAGTTTGTCAAGTGAAGAATTGTTTTTAAAAGTCCAAGAATTGATCATCATACAGGGAAGGTCTTTATACAATTGTTCATCTTGCCCCGGAGCCGTGTGGAGCTCCGTATTGCTGAGCCCCTTCCCGCACTGGGTACATTGGTCACACAAAACACAGTAGTTAATCCAGTCTTTGGGAAGCAGCGCACGCACGAGTGTGTGTGTTCCATTCATCTGTACATCTCACTACTTAATTAGAACAATATTAGCAAGTTACAGTCTCCTCCCGGCTGCTGGCCGGGCTACTCCGGGATGGCCGAGGTCCCCATCGTGACGACGTTGTTGATCATCACAGCGGTCGCCACGGCAACCTCGCCACAACAGCTGCAAGCAGAAACAAGCAACTCTGTTATATTGTGTACGCCTACAGCTGAACATACCTAGTTTCTTTACAACGGTTCCTGTTTGACTAACTCTCACTGAGACGGTCAGGCAATGCTGTTTCACACTTCAGGGTGCATTTTTTCAGTTTGATCATGGCAGCCAGTCAGGAGTGAGTATGGTTTTATGCCAATATTCCAGCAATATCACGGCAGGGGACACCAGAAATGGGCTTCACACATTGTACCCATGTCGGGAATCGAACCCGGGTCTTCTGCGTGACGAGCGAACGCTTTAACCACCAGGCTACCCGACCGCCCCTCTCGCAGCTGTAAGATTACCAGAGACATGTTTCAGTCTCAATGTTCACTCAACTAACTCCACGTTACCAGGACAACAATGAAGATTACATACTCACATCACAAATTAGGGTAGCTTATGCAGACAGCTTCAGGGCTGAAACATAAAAAAAACAGTCAGGTATCTTGGCACTCTTGGATATTATGCCACACCAATGTGAATAAAAGCCACATCAAGAAGCCTCCAGGACACCAAGCAATCCTGCATGTTTACCCATGAATACTGATTGTAACCCACCACAGTGATATTACAGCTCCTATCTCAGCAACTTGTATGTCATCAACTCTGAACCCGACAAGAATCAGTAACAAGTCACGGTTTACACAATCAGCTCGTCCACACATTGCTACAATCAAACAGAGCTCCAGATAAGCTGCGTATCTGCGTAAAATACACATAAAAAATGCAGAAATACGCAGTAAAATAAAATCCAAGCTTATCAAATACGCAACGAATATTACAGATAAGCTACAAAAATAAAACTTATGCGTATCATCAAGATATTGTGAAGTAACCCTGCGTATTCGATTAGCAAATCAGCAACTTTTTTTGAAATTATAAACGGGCATTCCCTCAACCTTGCCAAACTCCACGATGACAGTTACGACGATCACACTTTCTTGTGGAAGTATCGTGGTATTTTTGAGTCCTATAAAGCTCTCGAACCCACACGACACCAGTTTGCAGGGACTAGATGAATAGTGTTTTTAAATATTTAACTTAAATACCCACATGTGTAAAAACTAGTGGGTAACAGAAATTTGAATACCCAGAATTACTGATACCCAATGATTTTAAAATGCATGGGTAAAATACCAACACGACCAAAAGCTTATCTGGAGCTCTGATTGAATCACAATTTAGTCGGCTCTAAAGTGAGGAGATGGGACTCAGAATTCAAACTGGCAACTAAAATCAAAAAGAATTCAGAACCAGATAACTCGGTGAAAACTACATCACCCCATGTAAGCTTCATCGACCTTGCCCTTCAGGTCAATGGGAGCCAGCATTGGCATGATTAGGAAAACCACTCCAATAATCAATGGATAATATTAGGGCTGGGACGGTTAACTCGGGTACTTGGGTCGGTGGGGTCCTGAGTAGGACCCGGGTACCCACAGGACTACCCGCGGACACATGCTTAGTCATGTGAGATATTGTTTTATGACAAAAACTGTTACACTACAAGTTGCTAATGTTTGCATTTCTTTTTGACGATGCACACATTCCGTTTGACTTGTATATGTTTGAGTAAAGGTAAAGCTTTGGTCAACTTCAGTGTGCGCATGATCTTATCGTTTGATACATGTATCTATCCCAACTCTTGAGACCTGCAGTGGGTACCCGGGTAGGGTCGGGTAATAGGGTGTCGGGTACCCAGGTTGTAAATTTGGACTCGTCCCAGCCCTAGATAATATGGAAAAAGTTGTTAGTAGCCAATCACTCACACACTGTTTAGAATATGTCAATGATGTCACAATATACCAGACAAAGAAGGAGTGTAACAAACAACTGTCCAGGATCCTGACATCTTCCCGAGGCAACAGAGTTAACTGACTATAAAATTCCAGTTTCCACCCTTGCTGAACTCAATGTAAAAGAAGAACTGTGATGAAAAATATTTTAAGACAGTAAGTAATCCAATGGTAATTTAAAATAAACCTGGGAACAGATTTTGAATGAATGAATGAATGAATACGATGACATGCATCAACCAAATCAGTGAGTGAGTGAGAATGGTTTTACGCCACTTTAAGCAATATTCCAGCAATATCACGGCGGGGGACACCAGAAATGGGCTTCACACATTGTACCAATGTCGGGAATCGAACCTGGGTCTTCGGCGTGACGAGTGAACGCTTTAACCACTAGGCTACCCGAACGCCCTGTATATACCTTTGAAACTTGATGAATTATGAGTGAGTGAGTTTGGTATAACACCATTTTTTTTAACAGTATTCCAGTTATATCACAGCGTGTCAGCTTCATGTGGGAGGAAAGCCCGAAATATCTCCAAGTCTCAAACGTTTACCACCGGGATTCGAACCCACAATCATAGGTATGAAGAATAAAAAATTGTTTCGTATAGTTAGGATTAATATTAACATCAAATGAAATAAATTCATTGTCTTAGAAAGTGTGCTCAGAGAGACATTTCCTTTTAGATTTTATGATAAGACAAAAAAATGGTTGGTTGGTTTGTTGTTTAACACTGCACTCAACAATATTCCCGCTATATGACAGTGGCCTGTAAATAATCGAGGCAGGAGCAGACAATCCAGTGATTAATATCATGAGCATCGATCCACGTAATTTGGATCGATGACATGCATCAACCAAGTCAGTGAGCCTGACCACCCGATTACGTTAGTCGCCTTTTACTTCAAGCACAGTCGCGTTTTACTTCAAGCACAGTCGCCTTTTCACGGCAAGCATGGGTTGCTGAAGACCTATTCTACCCCGAATTAAGACAAAAGAAAAACTGTAGGAAGAAACCTTATTAACAAACAAAACTGATCAAAACAAACAAGGCTGATTTCAAATAGTGTTAATAAAAAGAAGGTGAAAATGTTTTTAAAAAGTCTTAACACATCAGAACAAAACAAGATGAAGCGAACTGGTACTTGACAAGCTTACACCAAGGTTCACAGAGAAAATGCTGTCCTAATACATGGGTCTGAAATGTACAACACGCCAAGCTTCAGCACAATCAACAAAGGACAGACGTGAATACCCCACTCAGACACAGTATACTGACTCCGAGCCGACCAGTCCTTGTTTTAGCCCCTTAATGCCGAGCGCCAGACAGAGTAACAACAAGTACCATCTTTTAACGTCTTTTGGTATGACGCGGCCGGGGATCGAACCCCGGACTTTCCGCTCTCCAGGCGGACAAGTGTTTGTTAGAGATATGAGTGGTGCAACACGTGCAGCATGCAACAAGAAAGACAGAGTTATCTCCCTTCATCCCATTAAACTCAAGCGCCTTCACAACGCAGGACACATTCGTTACACTCTCACTAAAATCGCTGCTACCAGTGTGGATGCAGCCATCACAAGAATCTTGAAATTTGCCTTCTAACCCCAAATGAAGATATGTTTTTGATTTTGTTTTTCTTTGGGAATGCAATCATAGTGAATTTTGAAGGTTTATTACCGACCATATTTCCAAATTGAATTTACCTTCTTGTTTGTTTGATCGGATTGGTTCGAGATTGCAGACGAACAGAAAATCAACCAACTTCTCGCTTATATTCTTTCTATTACAATTACATGACAGTTGTAATGAAACAGATTTTCAAAATTGACAAACTACGAAAAATAATTTAGCAGGGGTAAGAGTATTCGGCATCATGGTAGTTATCACTTGTTTGTAAACAGAACAGTCAGTCGGCTGTGCATTCAACTCCAAACACAGTTGAAACCACCTATCACAGTGGGGAGCTTTGACTGGTGGCAGCAACAGTATAGAGAGCTCTGCGAACGAGATATCGCTGTGAGGAGTTTGCGTTAAACATTCCCACCCCCCTTGAGTAATTGTGAGTGAGTGAGTATGGTTTTACGCCGCTTTTAGCAATATTCCAGCAATATCACGGCGGGGGGACACCAGAAATGGGCTTCACACATTGTACCCATGTCGGGAATCGAACCCGGGTCTTCTGCGTGACGAGCGAATGCTTTAACGACTAGGCTACCTGACCACCCCTTTTGAGTAATTGTGTGTTTTTGGTTGGGTTTGTTTGTTGTTCAACGCCACACTCAGCATTCTCCAGCTATGACGACAATGGTCTGTATATGGTCTGTATATAGTCTGGACCAGACAATCCAGTGGTTGATAGAATGATCAACGTCTGCTGGGTACAATGCCTCACTGAAATGGTGACCACCGAGTTTGACCACCGATCCATTCAGTCCCTACGACAAGCATAGGTTGTGTGAGTGAGTGAGTTTATGCTTTACGTCAGAAATATTTCAGCCATATCGTGACGAGAAGTTATACAGTATTTATACATATATTTAAACCAAATAAGAACCTGTCAGCAATGGACAGTAAAATTACTAGAATATCACAGACTTAATGTTTAAAACTAGCATACAGCAATAAAAAGAGATATCACTAAATAGTCATGAAACAGTACAATATAAAAAAGGGCTATAGATCACCAGCATCTGAAGGTAGATCACCATGCTAGGGTCCATGGGGACTTACAGTACTTTTGCTACCTGCATGGACCCCAGCTGTATTTACATCATCCCCTCAGCTGTTGGCAATTATTGACAAATTTAGCCACAATTTAAAAGAAACATATATATACTGGGATTAAAAACGTATCTGAAATAAATATACTTTGAAATACGTGGTCTTACATATCCTCTCAGGGGGACAATAATTTTACACTACTTAAACCCCCTTCGGCAAGGGTTGTGTAAATGCATCATAAAAAGTGAAGAACACTGTCAGGGACCAGTGACAAACGGTCGGTCAGGTCATACATTGTAACCACCTGTATCTCGCGAATCAGCATGTGACTCCCCCCACCAGGGAGGGAACTGATAGACACCACTCACCATCAAGAGCTTCCAGGGCAAAATACTGTACATCTATATCCGAATCAGTCTTCAGTTTGTCTAGACACGGTTTGATCTGTTGTTGACACGTCCTGCAAATACAAACATCAGTGTTCAATAAATGCCAGGCAACAAGTCACTGTTGACATGAGGAGAGGCAAGGTGAGGTGAAATCGTCGCGGTCAAGATTACTGCACATTTATAGCGACTCGTATGTGTGTGGCTGCTTGTACTATCCTGGACTGATCCCGATTTATAGTGCTAGCATACTGAGATACAGTGACGCAGTTTAACATGAATACCCCACTCAGACACAGTATACTGACTCCGAGCCGACCAGTCCTTGTTTTAGCCCCTTAATGCCGAAGGTAACAACAAGTACCATCTTTTAACGTCTTTTGGTATGGTGCGGCCGGGGATCGAACCCTGGACCTTCCGCTCTAGAACGTGGAGGCAGTCAAGTCACTGTTGAACAACATATTAATTATATCATGAGGTCAGCTGAATGTGCAGTGCAAAATTGTTTCTATGGTTTCATGTCCTGGTAACTTTATGTATTTGGTGTTATTCAGCCCATATTGTCACATTACATCGAGAAGCAGCATTCACAACTTACGACTGGTCAAATAGAGGTCCTAATTTCTGTAATGTTTTGGCCACGTTGAATCGGACGTTAGCGACTGGGTCTCCTGCCATCCCAGTGACTGTGGGCAGCATGAGCTTCAGAGTGAGGTCTGACCCGCACGCCTCCGACAATAACTGAAACAAACACACAGGATTCAGTTACCTAGGATACTGGTACTTTATAACAATGTCCCTCAGTTGATTGGTTTGTTGTTTAACGCCGCACTCAGCAATATTCCAGCTACATGACGGCGGTCTGTATATAATCGAGTCGAGACCAGACAATCCAGTGATTGACATCATGAGCATCGATCCACGCAATTGGGATACGATGACATGCATCAAGTCTGACCACCCTATCCCGCTAGTCGCCTTTTACGACAAGCATAGTCGCCTTTTACGACAAGCATGGGTTGCTGAAGACCTATTCTACCCTGGATCTTCACGGGTCTCAGTCACCTAGGATACCGGTACTTTATTACAATGTTCCTCAGACAACGGCTTCAACAATAATGGTTTTCCTGGATGCTGCATTATGGCCTGAAGTTTTAGACCTTCACTCAGGAATATTCCAGCTACATGGCGTCATAATCTAATCCAGAAATTATGAGCAATTATCGATGCAGACGCTCTACCACTAGACCACGGAGGCGGTCTGGGAGGGGAGGTACTCACGTTAATGCAGAACAGACATGTCATCCTGTGTAAGTAGTTCTGGTCCCGGGCCATCTGGAGGACTTTAGGGATGACGGTCTGCTGGGCCCAGTCCACTCCAAACTTCTCCACCAGCTTCTTCAGGTTCTGTGTGGCTGCGTCACGGATTGCGTACACTGGAGGAGGAGGAGGAGGCAGAGAGCAGCTCGTTAGCACAGGCATTCAGTTCAGTTTCTAGGATTGTCACGGGTTGTCCAATCAATGGAAATCATTCCAACACTAGTTAATATTTCAAATATACTACTCAAAAGAAGTTAAGGATCACCTGATTCTTTCATATTACAATAGTTAATCTCTCATGCCATGACAGGTTAACTTTACCAATATGAAAGAATCGGGTGATCCTAAACTTCTTTTGAGTAGTATAAATTGTAGACAGTAGTGAGTGAGTGAGTGAGTGAGTTGGGTTTAACGCCGCTTTTAACAGTATTCCAGTTATATCGCAGCGTGTCAGCTTAATGTGGGAGGAAAGCCCGAAGTGATGCAGGTCTCAGACGTTTACCACTTCCGTGAAACCAACGAGCACGGGTATGGTGCTGACAAACCTAGAAACATAATCGGGGCGAACCGGGATTCGAACCCACAATCATAGGTTCCTGGCGTGCCCAAGGGATGCAACCCTGCGCAGCGAATCGCGGCGCCTTAGACGACTGGGCCACCCGTGCCCCCCCGTAGACAGTATTGAGTAGCATGCAAAGACTCCACACCTGACACCTACAACACCTTCTTCAAGATTACCGTACTCGACATAATAAGCACCATGCTCTAATAAGCGCCCACGGCGATGTTTGCTAATATATTAGCTAGTGAACACTCCCAGTTAGCACCCCTTCCGATGGATCAATGTTCACAAGACTTATTTATTCGTGTATAATACGCACTCGTGTGTTAAATGCCCCCTTAATTATGAGCAATTAATTTCTGGAAAATACATCTGTCAGGTATGATACGCACATACTTTTTGTATCACTTCAGGCTGTCAGCATAAACTACAAAATTTACGATCTTTCAACTTTTATTTTCTCACCAAAATCATTTTCTTATAAGAGTCCCTATTTCTAATTTTGAGAGCGCTTATTACGTCGAATGCGGTATGTGCACGTTCCTATTGCGTTTCACAGCACTGCATCATTAACTTGAGTGAAACTTGCATCACACTGGACTATGTTTCATGGGACCAAGGGCAACCTGGTTTTGTTTGTAGCAACTTGGTTTTCATGAACCTGGTACAAGCTAAAGTCTGGAAGGTAATTTAAGGTGCCGACGTTTACTACAATATCTGAAAAACTATTGGACCTACTCCACTCAAAGTTGTTATGAGATTATTAAACAGTCATACATAACTGGATATTACATTTAAAGACAATCGGTGCATGAATAAAAAATCTGTCTATTTAGCTATCACTATATTTCATCAACAACCAGACCTGTTCGTCACGGGTGGAACGAACATTCAGTGCATTCAGTGCATAATGCTACCCCTGCGTCACAGGGCCATATGACCCAGTTGAACCAATCAACTCAACTCGAAAGGCACGGGAATCACGCACGCACGAATACGGTGTTAGCGTTGGGTGTCTCAACGTGACTATATATCAAGTTCCTTAAATCGAACCCTGCATGATCATGTGATGAAATATTTTTTTGTGATCAATACTTCCTTCCGTTCCACAACTTACCATGGTCCACCAGCCAAGTCATGCACAAGGAATTGAGCTTCTCCTCGAAGAACTCCACACCCTGGAATCAGAAATACCCTGTTATGCTTGATTTTTTGGTGGTTGTTTTTTCGTTGCATTCCATGCGCAGGAATATTCCGCAACATATGATAACGGCTTCTAAATAAATAAGTCAGAACCAGACGATCCAGTTTCTGACATTGTGAGCAGCGATCCTCACCGTCGAGGTAGGTCAATCTACACAGGGGGCAATGTAAAATAACTGGACACAAAGTGCCGAGTTGTCTGAATGCAACGTTATTCCACGCATATTGTTTGTATGTTTGTTTGATGTTTAACGCCGCACTCAGCAATATTCCAGCAATATCACAGTGGTCTGTAAATAACCAAGTATGGACCAGACAATCCAGTGATTGATATCATGAGCATCGATCCAAGCGAGCGAGTGAGGTCGCTTTAAGCAATATTCCAGCAATATCACGGCAGGGGACACCAGAAATGGGCTTCACACATTGTACCCATGTCGGGAATCGAATCCAGGTCTTTGGCATGACAAGCGAGCGCTTTAACCACTAGGCTACCCGACGCCCCACATGCATTAAGAGTTTCATGCCATGACTCTCAGTTCAGAAATCAGGGACAGATTGTCCAAAAGGCTGGGTGTTGTATTCAGCAAGGACTGAAAGACTGAGAAGACACACAGCATACCCATGATTCATTTAATATTGGACGTACCAGTCCTTCCTGTTCATTGTCTCTCCTGTGTCAACCAGAAGCTACACCCAAGTGTGAGAAATGTGCCACTCACCAGCTGCCCAGCCAGTAGGGGCATGTACTCGATGATGGCGAGGCGGACTCGCCACTTGGTGTCCTCTGCCAGCTCCACGATGGCAGGCAGCAGCGACTGGGACAGCTGTTGGATGCCGATCACTTCGTTGACGCAGTCCAGATTGGAGATGATGTTGAGTCTCACCTCCGGGCACTCATCCTTGAGTTGGGACAGGAACAGAGGGAGCAGGTGCTCTATCGTGCTGCAACACCAGGGGAGAGTAAGACATACGGGAGAGTAGGACATATGAGTAGGACATACAGGGGAGGAAGTCAGGACAGGACAGGAACAGAGGGAGTAGGTGCTCTATCGTGCTGCAACACCAGGGGAGAGTAAGACATACGGGAGAGTAGGACATACGAGTAGGACATACAGGGGAGGAAGTCAGGACAGGACAGGAACAGAGGGAGTAGGTGCTCTATCGTGCTGCAACACCAGGGGAGAGTAAGACATAGGGGAGTGTAAGACATAGGGGAGTAAGACCTACAGGAAAGTAGGACATATGGAGGAGGAAGACATAGGGGAGAGTAAGACATACAGGAGAGTAAGACAGGGGAGAGTAGGAGATATGGGGGAGGAAGACATACGGGAGGTGAAGACATACGGGAGAGTAAGACAAAGGGGAGAGTAAGACATACAGGAGAGTAAGACAGGGGAGAGTAGGACATACGGGTGAGTAAGACATACAGGAAAGTAATACAGTGGGGAGGGTCAGACATACAGGCTATTTTGCATGTTGGTTGGTTGGTTGGTTGGTTGTTTAACGCCGCAATCAGCAATATTACAGCTATATGACGGCGGTCTGTAAATAATCGTGTCTGGACCAGACAATCCAGTGATTGACATCATCAGCATCGATCCACGCAATTGGGATCAATGACATGCATCAACCAAGTCAGCGAACTTGACCACCCGATCCCGTTAGTCGCCTTTTACGGCAAGCATGGGTTGCTGAAGACCTATTCTACCCCGGAATCTTCACGGGTCTATTTTGCATGTAATATAGGACATTGTGTATCTCAAGGTCTTGAAGTCGTTCAAACGAGCAAAAACACCATCCCAGGAGTCAGTGACATTCAGTTAATTGCATTGGCAGAAATTGTTTCACAATGTTGTAAAAATAAAGCTAAGAGGTTGGGCATAATTGCAATATTGGTCAAATATGTTCCAACAAAACTATATGTAAATTTTAAAGGTGAGGTGAAATGGGGTTTAACGTCGCATCCAAGATTATTGCACTTATATAGCGACGTGCATGCACGTGTATATGTGTGTGTGTGTGTGTGTGTGTCTGCTTGTACTAGTCCGGACTGATGCCGATTTATAGTGCTAGCCCACTGAGATACCATGCCGCTGTTTAACATGAATACCCCACTCAGACACAGTATACTGACTCCGAGCCGACCAGTCCTTGTTTTTAGCCCCTTAATGCCGAGCGCCAGACAGGGTATCAACAAGTACTGTCTTTTGGTATGACCCGGCCGGGGATCGAACCCCGGACCTTCCACTCTCATGGACGCTCTACCACAAGGCCACGGAGGCGGTCTGTACATTTTAAACACAATCACAAGGCAGTTAACGCTGGGATACTGTAAGGACTTACTTGTCTTTGCCTAGTATAGGGGACAGACCCATGATGACAGAGGCCAGAGCAGACTTTACGTGCTGGTTGGCATCGGACACCAGGTCCTTGACGCAGGGAAGGATGTTGGTCATGATGGTGGTCTCACGGACGTCCGGGGACAGATTCTGGCAGAAATCTGAAACACAACAGTCACAATATGAAGAAAGGCAGGGAATGAGCCTGGTGAACCACGAAAAGTATTTTCAGCCAATATGGGAGAAAGCCCGACGTTGTTATGCAGGTCTTTTGAGTAGATGTAGCGGTTGCTGCAGCCTAGCTTGTTAAACCACACAATATTGTAATTTGTCAAGGGAGGCAATTCTCTTGCTAAAAGTCATGGTTACTCACAGTTAAAAAAAAGTAAACGTCTTCTACACATTTTAATGTTCTCAAAATATGTAGACGTGACAAATTATTATATCCATGCCTCCAAATACTCAGTGTCTGGCAAATTAAGGTTTAAACGAGGCAATTAGTATTTAAGGCCTTATCACTGGAAACATATCATTTCCCGGCCTTTTCCAAGGCCCTGTGTAACCTTGCCATACCTTTGACTTTGTGAGCCGACGCAGCCCGGACCTCGGCCTCGCAGTCCTTCAGCAGACTCTGGAAGGCCGGCACCAGATCGTTCTTGGTGATTTCAGGCCCCACCGCCTTCTGGAGCTGTAACACACAGGGGTACTGGTTGGTTGTGGGTGGGGCTGGGGGTGAGTGTACTTGTCAGGACATGGGCGCGCCAACACGGGTACTGGTCAGTTGTGGGTGGGGCTGGGGGGTGAGTGTATTTGTCACGACATGGGCGCTCCCGACACCAACACGGGTACTGGTCAGTTGTGGGAGGGGCTGAGGGTGAGTGTATTTGTCACGACATGGGCGCTCCCGACACCAACACAGGGGTACTGGTCAGTTGTGGGAGGGGCTGAGGGTGGGTGTACTTGTCAGGACATGGCGCTCCCGACACCAACACGGGTACTGGTCAGTTGTGGGAGGGGCTGAGGGTGAGTGTATTTGTCACGACATGGGCGCTCCCGACACCAACACAGGGGTACTGGTCAGTTGTGGGAGGGGCTGAGGGTGGGTGTACTTGTCAGGACATGGGAGCTACCGACCCCAACACAGGGGTACTGGTCAGTTGTGGGTGGTGGTGGGGGAGCTTGTCAGGACATAGGAACTCCAGCCTTAGGCAGACGAGCGAATGACGCTTTAAGCACTAGGCTACCCACCACTCCTTAATGAAGCAATAAGCCTGGTAACGTGCACTTCGTCACTCCAGATACATCATCCATTGGGAAAACTATCAATCAATAACCAATTTGAGTCTGTTTTACAACATGAATATTCAGGGCAAATAACCACCACTAGTGTCAGTCAGTTGAAGTATTGAAGTACTCTCATAGTCATACAGGCCTTGCTTGACCCCCAGGCAGTGACCCCCAGGCAGTGACCGCCAGGCAGCGACCCCCAGGCAGTGACCCAGAGGCAGTGACCCAGAGGCAGGCAGTGACCCCCAGGCAGCGACTCCCAGGCAGCGACCCCCAGGCAGCGACCCCCAGGCAGCGACCGCCAGGCAGCGACCCCCAGGCAGCGACCCAGAGGCAGTGACCCAGAGGCAGGCAGTGACCCCCAGGCAGTGACTCCCAGGCAGTGACTTACATCTGTGATGTTGTCGGCCACCATGTAGCGGACAACACGAATATTCAGGGCAATAACCACCATTAGCGTGAGTCAGCTGAAGTACTGAAGTACTCTCATACAGGCCTTGCTTGTCCCAGTGACTCCCAGACAGTGACTTACATCTGTGAACTTGTCGGCCACCATGTAGCGGACCCTCCAGGACTTGTCCTCAGCGGCCTGGCGGAGGGTAGGCATGACCAGCTGCTCAGTGTCGTCAGGCGGCAACAGCGAGGCAATGCTAACGCAGGCTTCTACAGCGAGAAGCCTTACCGAGTCCTGAAATATAATGTTCTTCAGTTTGTATGAAATACAGCAACATGCGAGAGTGTGGCGCAAACACAGCCTAGTCAAGAAAAATCAATGTCACAGTATTAGTGATTCACTAATCAAAATACAAAAATTAAATTAAAAATTTATGTCAAATTAATTATAGAAAAATTATCTCATTCATACTGGATACTGAGGAAAGATCCCGGTATATTACATTATCAACACCATGAATTCATGGTAAGCCCAGGTCAAACAAGTACAATTCATCTACAATAGATCTTAAAAGTCAATGTTTTAAATGCCACAGCATTAAATTGAGATCAATCAAATTGGGTCCATTATATACATAAAATAACATATTTGATAAGCAACATATTACTGTGGAAATAAATCAGGCACATGTAAAGTTAAAAGTTATTATGCAAAGGCATGTATAAATGTATTATATACTACTCAAAAGAAGTTAAGGATCACCTGATTCTTTCATATTACAATAGTTAATCTCTCATGCCATTACAGATTAACATTACCAATATGAAAGAATCGGGTCATCCTTAACTTCTTTTGAGCAGTATATATAAACACACCTGGTATCGGTCAACAACATATTTACAATTAAGCAGTCGTAGAAATAATGAGAAATTATCAATGTAAATAAGATAGAAAGAACAAATTGACATAAACATGAAGGTCAAGATTTGTATCTTTGAATATTCCAGCGTTAGAAATTGGCACTTGTCCTGTAGTCCTTGCCAAACTGCCCAATAGTAAAGGTATCATAAGGACAAGTAGAAATTTGCCATTTTGAGGGGTTTTGCTATATGTTATCATTTTAAGGACTTTTGGACTGAAACTGTTAGTTTCTAACCCTGTATTCGTGAGTAATACAGTTTATAGTGAAGGGTATTGGCCTAAGTTTGTATTGCAATTTATTGCAATAATGTTTCCTGTATTGCAATACGTACCACAATATATTGCATATGTTCTTTCATCTGTAATTAGTTATGAACCTGAATAAAAAACACTTTCCCCGCATGTTTTTGACAAATTCGTATTATGTGGATACAGGAAGCTGTCACAAATAATTTCACTTTTTCGCCACAGGAAAAAGTTGCTAATTTCTTAATTTCCATTTGATTTGTCACTAGTGTAAAATCTTCCCCAAAGATGATATACATGATAAAGAAAAACACAGTATACGGTATTTTCCTAACGTATTGTGGTGCGTATTTGGTATTTCACATCGTGGTATACCGGTATATCGATAACATCGTGCATCTCTAACAGTTTATTCAGGGGTGAACACTATCTGAGACAAAGGACAGCATTTATTGCCAAGACCTCGCCCAGTGTCAGGGTGCCAGGGCCTCAATGTCGCCTCCGCACCTACCAAGAGCGTGGATGGAGATGTCCGAGACCAGTGTAGCGGTGAAGCACACCTGCTACAGCCGTGGCACAACATCATCAAGCCGTGACAACACTGACCCCGTCCATTTGCAGCTCACAAACATTCACTTTCTCGTACATATTTACAATTTACACGATCAAAAGTTAACACTAGCCCACTAGCCCAGTGCTGGTTATAATTCCTACGGGCTAATACAAATTCCCAAATATCCTGTTTCAACATTACAAGGGCTTTTCATCTTCACCTGGACTAACAATGCTTTGAGTTTAGTTCTAACCCTGAACGTATGTGGTGAAACCTGACAGCCAGTCTGGTGACTAACATCACTGGACTAACAATGCTTTGAGTTTAGTTCTAACCCTGAACGTATGTGGTGAAACCTGACAGCCAGTCTGGTGACTAACATCACTGGACTAACAAAGCTTTGAGTTTAGTTCTAACCCTGAACGTATGTGGTGAAACCTGACAGCCAGTCTGGTGACTAACATCACTGGACTAACAAAGCTTTGAGTTTAGTTCTAACCCTGAACGTATGTGGTGAAACCTGACAGCCAGTCTGGTGACTAACATCACTGGACTAACAAAGCTTTGAGTTTAGTTCTAACCCTGAACGTATGTGGTGAAACCTGACAGCCAGTCTGGTGACTAACATCACTGGACTAACAAAGCTTTGAGTTTAGTTCTAACCCTGAACGTATGTGGTGAAACCTGACAGCCAGTCTGGTGACTAACATCACTGGACTAACAATGCTTTGAGTTTAGTTCTAACCCTGAAGGTATGTAGTGAAACCTGACAGCCAGTCTGGTAACTAACATTACTGGACTAACAATGCTTTGAGTTGAGTTCTAACCCTGAACGTATGTGGTGAAACCTGACAGCCAGTCTGGTGACTAACATCACTGGACTAACAATGCTTTGAGTTGAGTTCTAACCCTGAACGTATGTGGTGAAACCTGACATGACAGCCAGTCTGGTGACTAACATCACTGTGACAACAATGACAACACAAGCAGCCGTGAAGACAGTAGCGATTGAATTATAACACCTCTGTGACTGTGTCGGTATATATATCTTAGATGTTATGAGGACACGCTTCATCCCCTCTGCTTCCCTTTTGCCTTACACTGACCAACAAAGATGTAGTGAGTGAGTGAGTTTCATTTTACGCCGCTTTTAGCAATATTCCAGCAATATCACGGCAGGGGACACCAGAAATGGGCTTCACACATTGTACCCATGTCCGGAATCAAACCCGGGTCTTCGGCGTGACAAGTGAGTGAGTGAGTATGGTTTTACGCCGCTTTTAGCAATATTCCAGCAATATCACGGCGGGGGACACCAGAAATGGGCTTCACACATTGTACCCATGTCGGGAATCGAACCCGGGTATTCGGTGTGACGAGCGAACCTTTAACCACCAGGCTACCCGACCGCCCCTCAACAAACATGTACAAGACAGTATCCATGTTCCAGCAAATTCACTCTACACTGTCAACTTGGTGTAGTGATGACAAGTACGTCCTTCATACTGTACATGCACAGATACCAACTAAACCATAACTCCTCAGTAAGGGAGTGAGTGAGTTGGGTTTAACGCCGCTTTTAACAGTATTCCAGTTAGATCACGGCGTGTCAGCTTAATGTGGGAGGAAAGACTGAAATGATGCAGGTCTCAGACATTTACCACTTCGGTGAAACCCACGAGCACGGGTATGGTGCTGACAAACCAAGAAACATAATTGGGGCGAACCAGGATTCTAGGAAAGCCCGAAGTGATGCAGGTCTCAGACAATCCAGTGATTGACATCATGAGCATCGATCCATGCAATTGGGATGGATGACATGTATCAACCAAGTCAGCGAGCCTGACCACTCGATCCCGTTAGTCGCCTTTTACGACAAGCATAGTCGCCTTTTACGGCAAGTATTGGTTGCTGAAGACCTATTCTACCCCGGAATCCATCAGCATGAGAATCCCTGAATACTTCCTAACGTCAAAGACACTAAATGTAAAAGTGAGGTAAACTGCATATTGCTGTCAAAGCTGTACAAAGCCTAGGCGAGAAAAGAAAGAGAGAGAAGTTACCAAGTTGTCTCCCCTTACCTGCTCGTCCTGTGCTAGTGCGGTGAAGAGGGGGATGAGTTCAGACTTGAGGTACTCTGTCTCCACCACCTTGGCAAACTCCCCCAGCTTCCCCGCCGCAGCGCGACGCACCATGGGCGTGTCATCACCGCACAGGTTCCGGAAGTGCCTGTAGCACAACACACACAACCAACTGAAATACTGCAGCCCAGAGGATCACATTGTTCTCGAAAAAGTCTTTGTGTATTTTACAAAATTAATCACATTATTTATGTTTGTTTGTTTGTTGTTTAACGCTGCACTCAGCAATATTCCAGCTATATGACGGCAGTCTGTAAATAATCGAGTCTGGACCAGACAATCCAGTAATTAATATCATGAGCATCGATCCACGCAATTGGGATCAATGACATGCATCAACCAAGTCAGCGAGCCTGACCACCCGATCCCGTTAGTCGCCTTTTACGACAAGCTGGGTCACCTTTTACGGCAAGCATGGGTTGCTGAAGACTTATTCTACCCCGGAATCTTCACGGGTCACATTATTTATGACACAGTACTGAAAACAATGTTGTGCAAACATGTTAGGTGTTGACCATTGTTGAAATCGTTTTAAATATTCGGTCTCTCCCACCAAAGAGTAAAATGCTTGAATTTTAGCATTGCATTCAGTGCAACATTGTACAATTTAGCAAAACCAACATTTTTTTTCAAATTTACCACTCATCAGTGTTAGAAATTGAAACTAGTCCTATAGTTCTTGCCAAACTGCCCAGTAGTTAAAGTATCCTAAGGACCAGTAGAATTTTGCCATTTTTAAGGGTTTTGCTATATGTTATCATTATAAGGACTAGCGGAATAAATATGTTAATTTCTACCGCTGCTCATGGAAGCTTTATTTAAATCATAGATCAAATATATGTAGGTATATAGTACAAGAAGCAACTCACTGTCTGAGCTCGGACTTGACACTGTTGGACACACGGGGATAGCAGACAGAGAACAGCCCACAGGCCGACGTCCTGGACGTGAACCAGTCTCCTGCAAGGGAAGACAACTGAGGCTTCAGTAGTTGTTACATATTCATACTAGGGCTGCAACGAATACACTATGAGGCGAATACGATTCGTATCACAAATTTTGGGTAACGAATATGAATATTAATTCACGAATACAATAACAAGTCAGTAGTTGATGTATTATTTGTTATATTCAGTGAGTGAGTGAGTTGGGTTTAACGCCGCTTTTAACAGTATTCCAGTTATATCGCGGCGTGTCAGCTTAATGTGGGAGGAAAGCCCGAAGTGATGCAGGTCTCAGACGTTTACCACTTCGGTGAAACCCATGAGCACGGGTATGGTGCTGACAAACCTAGAAACATAATCGGGGTGAACCGGGATTCGAACCCACAATCATAGGTTTCTGGCATGCCCAAGGGACGCAACTCTGCACAGCGAATCGCGGCGCCTTAGACGACTGGGCCACCCGTGCCCCCGTTATATTCAGTGAAACATTAACATAATATTTTTTACATGGTTTGTTAATTATAAATATATTATACATTTATATACTGCACTTATCCAGGTACCAGTATCTGCTCAAATGTGACAATGACCAGTGACCACAATACTGTTAAATTAAATATTATAAGAGTGTTGTGTTTGAAGAAATCTATGCATTTAATATGTTCTTATGGATATTTTTAGGTACAGGGTATGTAAATGCACATACTTGCATATTCATAAATATTCGATTCTAATGGCAACAAATAACGAATTCAATTCATGAATGTATACGGTTCGATTCACCGAATACGCGAGCGAGTGAATTGTAACAGCCCTAATTCATACCCACTCACACTGCATGAAGTGTTCACAAGTAACAAAAGCTTATTTTCAGTGAAATTTGTGTGTGCCAGAATGATCTGTCTAATGACCACCTTCGTACATTCAATAAGCTTTATTTCCCTTGCCAGGTTCACAGCTACAGGGTCAGACATTAAAATAAGTGTACCAGTCAGAGACTAGTTGGTTGGTAGGTTGGTTTGTTGTTTAACGCCGCACTCAGCAATATTCCAGCTATATGACGGCAGTCTGTAAATAATCGAGTCTGGACCAGACAATCCAGTGATTAATATCATGAGCATCGATCCACGCAATTGGGATCGATGACATGCATCAACCAAGTCAGCGAGCCTGTCCCTCCGATCCCGTTAGTCGCCTCTTACGACAAGCATAGTCACCTTTTACGGCAAGCGCGGGTTGATGAAGACCTATTCTACCCCGGAATCTTTTATGGGTCGTCAGAGACTAGTAAAATTATGTAAAGGCCTGTGACAATTCTTTGTAAACTACTACTTTTACCATAACATGGCATCTGTAGCATATTGTTTCCACGGAGGAGGGAAAATACAAAGGAATTTTTAACCCAGGTGATCCTAGCTATTGGGCTCTCCAGGTGCAGTCTTGTAAAAAACCATAAAAGTTGGCTGGTAAGCCTGTATACACATAACGCTTGACAGGAAGTCACTAGCTTGTCACTTTGCTAGGGCTGTTACGATTAACCCGCGTATTCAGTGAATCGAACCGTATACATTCATGAATTGAGTTTGTTATTCGTGGCCACCAGAACTGAACATGTATGAATATGCAATCATGTGCCTTCACATACCATGTACCTAAAAATATCCATAAGAACATATTATAGGCATAGATTTCTTCAATCTCATTCAAATCAGATCTAAGTTCCCGCTGTCGCTAAACAAAGATTGGGTCACGTCAGAACGACCTTATGTGAACTTTGACCGACCACTGAAATGTCTAACAAAAAGTCGACATCAGCCAATTTGAAAGCAGCTTTCTCGAGCTTTACGGCACTCCTTTCGGCCTGGCGACCTCCATTTCAGACTAAACTTGAAAAATATGTTGACACAGTTCTCGATTAAAATTCTGAAAACTGAACAAACGAACATTCCAGAATGTCTAATATATGGTTGAGATTGTATGGCAGTGTTTCCCGTGTACTGTGCAACACCTCCCCCGTTCAAATGTTTATCCCACGGAAGCGAGAGATAGACGATAATTTTGACGGAATCAGTCATACAGGCCGTAATTGTCGTTCGGAATACACCGTGTTAACGTTTTCGAGGTTGCATGATCAGAAAACATATTACAACTGTCTCTTTCATGATCTGGTAAGCGACGCTTTGATTGGTCGGACGAAAGGTCATTCTGACGTGACCCATAATGGGATGTCCTCAGATCTTTGTTTAGTGATAACGAGAACTAAGATCTGATTTTAATGAGATTGAGATTTCTTCAAAGACAACACTCTTATAATATTTAATTTGACAGTATTGTGGTCACTGGTCATTGTCATATTTCAGCAGATACTAGTACGTGGATTAGTGCAGTCTATAAATTTATTATATATTAATAGTTAACAAACCATGGCAAATAATTTATGTTGTTATTGTTTCACTGAATATAATAAATAATACATCAGCTGCTGACTTGTTATTGTATTTGTGAATTAATATTCGAATTCGTTACCTTATATTCGTGATATGAATCGTCATCGCCTCATAGTGTGTATTCGTCGCAGCCCTACACTTTACAACTGATGCTGTTCGGACTGATTCATATGTTCTCATATATAATACTGATGGAAACAAATAAGGGAACAAGGAAACATACATACATAATGTCAGTACATTATAGGTGAGGTGAAATGGGGTTTAACGTCGCGTCGCGATTATTGCACTTATATAGCGACGTGCATGTATGTGTGCGTGGCTGCTTGTACTAGTCCGGACTGATGCTGATTTTGAGTGCCAGGACACTGAGATGCCATGCCGCAGTTTAACATGAACACCCCACTCAGACACAGTATACTGACTCCGAGCGGACCAGTCCTTGTTTTAGCCCCTTAATGCCGAGCGCCAGACAGGGTAACAACAAGTACCATCTTTTGACGTCTTTTGGTATGATGCGGCCGGGGATCGAACCCCAGACTTTCCACACTCCGGGCGGACGCTCTACCACTAGACAACGGAGGCGGTTTCAGTACATTTGAAATGGCACGCATACTTCAACAGAATCAAATGTTGAGATGTGTTTGTGTCCATTGTTTCCAAATCATATTAGGTAGACAGGGCTAAGAACCCATGACAGCATATTATTTCACTGTGTCTAAAACTAAGTGTTCCTTATTCATATCCATCAGTATATTGCAAACCTTGCTTGGTACAGTCTTTACTTTGCAACATAGTTTCTTGTTTAACGCTGCAGTCATCAATATTCCAGCTATACGAGGGTGGTCTGTAAATAATTATGGACCAGACAATCAAATGATTGACATCACCTGCATCGATCCACGCAACTGGGATATGGTGACATGCACCAACCAAGTCAGCGAGCCTGACCACCCGATCCCGTTAGTCACCTCAGACAATCCTAGTCACCTTTTACGGCAAGCATGGGTTGCTGAAGACCTATTCTACCCCGGATCTTCACGGGTACAATCTATACAATCTCAAAGAGGGCTGACTCACCAGCTGACAGCCTCTTCAGAAGGGGGACAAAGTGGTTCTCCAGGTCCGCGGGGGAGTGCTCGGCGGCGATCTGTCGCAGGGAGTCCACTGCCTTGTCTCTCACCACAGTCTCCTCCACAGTGGCCAGGCTCTCCAGAGGCGGCTGTGAGGGCAGACAACAAACATTAGCATCATCTACAACAGCTGCAGACATCAGAGCTCCAGATCAGAAATGCAGAAATACGCAGTAAAACATAATCCAAGCGTATCAGTGAGTGAGTGAGTGAGTTTGGTTTAACGCCGCTTTTAACAGTATTCCAGTTATATCGCGGCGTGTCAGCTTAATGTGGGAGGAAAGCCCGAAGTGATGCAGGTCTCAGACGTTTACCACTTCGGTGAAACCCACGAGCACGGGTATGGTGCTGACAAACCTAGAAACATATCGGGGCGAACCGGGATTCGAACCCACAATCATAAGGGACGCAACTCTGCACATCGAATCGCGGCGCCTTAGACGACTGGGCCACCCGTGCCCCCTCAAGCGTATCAAATACGCAACGAGTATTACAGATACACTTCAAAAATATAACTTGTGCGTAACATCAAAATATTGTGAAGTAACTCTGCGTATTTGATTCGCAAATCAGCAACTTATTTTGAAATTATAACCGGGCATTCCGTCAACCTTGCCAAACTTTTTTTTTACATATTTCACTTAAATACCCACATGTGTAAAAACTAGTGGGTAACAGAAATTTGAATACCCAGATAGAATTACTGATACCCAATGATTTTAAAATGCATGGGTAAAATACCCACAACACCAAAAGCTTATCTGGAGCTCTGAGACATCATAACTTATCTGAACCAAACAGCTAAACAGCGGCCATCATCATGTTCACAGAAAAGGCGTGTGCCAAGTTTAATGATTCCTGAATCAAAATTTTAGTGCAGCCACAAACCCTTTTTTGTGAATATTTTCCATCACATGATTGTGGCCTTTCACTCTTGCATGTCATGTGCCAAAAGAATTCCCCAGGACTATTTGTTGATGGAAGAATGATACCTAATGTCAATAATTTTCAGACTGCATATCAATATGTAAGTATTCTAGCCTATGCTTACTCATGGCATCATTTTCAAAACATCTTGAGTGTTATCTGTATAATCATAAGCACAGCTAACCCAATTAGAACTTGCATAAACTCGTCTACAACTCACATCTGGTAAATATTTTTTTTTGTCAACCGTCTGCTGTCGCTGCAGCTTGGAAGAAACTGAATTTTTGGAAGCCGACGTTTTCTGTTTGCCACTTCCTCTTTTATCGGACGAACGTACAGGCAGTGGGGGTGAATGAGGATGTGGCTTAATCTGACTGAGTAAAAGAGACAGGGAATGGGGGCGGGGCTTTGACCGTCGTGAAGAAGATCTAGGGTCACTGTCCTTTAGTGGCAAGGACGGTTTCTGTTCTGTGGGCAGTAGACCATCATCCATGGATTTCTGTTTGGTCAGCTTGGACTTGAACTCAAACTTGGGTACTTCAGGCAGGGTTGGGACGGGTGTTGTCGCCCCAGCGGCCTTGTTGAAGTAGTTGTCTTGCACCATGTAGAAGGCCCCGGGGCAGGCTGGTAGAGTGTACACAGGGACGCACCAGGCGTGGCGGGAAGGGGGCGGGGTCCCGGGGGCAAACTCTGGGGAGGGGCTCGACGGGATCGGGGTCCCTGGGGCAAACACGGGGGAGTGGCGGAACGGGGGCGGGGTCCCAGGGGCAAACACTGGGGAGGAGCTGGATGGGGGAGGGGCACTTGGAGCAAAAAAGGGGGAGTGGTGGAACGGGGGCGGAGTCCCTGGGGCAAACACTGGGGAGGGGCTGGACATAGTTGCTGCTGCAGGTCAAGCAAAGGGGGGCAATGTATCGACCCAAGAGGGACCAACTTAAGCAGGACAGCGGGTCTAAACACCAATGGATCAGAAAATCTGTTGTGGTGACAGAAGAAAATGTAGTCTGTTTAACAAACACAAGAAAACACTTGAAAGTTTTTTGTTGTCACAAGAGGAACATGTTGAAGTCTGCTTGGGTCAGACGTGGAAAATGTGCTGGAGTAGAGAAAACTTTAAGTCACTGTGGTGATGATCCAGCAGAGATCAGGCAGACTATAGCAGACAGCTGCCATCATTACTCCAACTTGTGCATAGTCAAGACAACACCAGAGCTACACAGATTCAGTATCAATGGATCACAGTTCCTGTGTAAACCACGTCCACTCAACACCAAGGGTGGTTCTCTTCCCAGGAACAACTACAGTGTACAACCAAGGCAACACCAGAACTACACAGATTCAGTATCAATGGATCACAGTGAGTTCCTGTGTAAACCACGTCCACTCAACACCAAGGGCTATTCTCTTCCTTCCTTGTCCCAGTGCAGTGTACAACCAAGGCAACACCAGAACTACACCGATTCAGTATCAATGGATCACAGTGAGTTCCTGTGTAAACCACGTCCACTCAACACCAAGGGCTATTCTCTTCCTTCCTTGTTCCAGAACTACACCAATTCAGTATCAATGGACCACAGTTCCTGTGTAAACCACGTCCACTCAACACCAAGGGCTATTCTCTTCCTTCCTTGTCCCAGAACTACACCAATTCAGTATCAATGGACCACAGTTCCTGTGTAAACCACGTCCACTCAACACCAAGGGCTATTCTCTTCCTTCCTTGTCCCAGAACTACACCAATTCAGTATCAATGGACCACAGTTGGTTCCTGTGTAAACCACGTCCACTCAACACCAAGGGCTATTCTCTTCCTTCCTTGTCCCAGAACTACACTGATTCAGTATCAGTGGACCACAGTTCCTGTGTAAACCACATCCACTCAACACCAAGGGCTATTCTCTTCCCAGGAGCAACTGCAGTGTACAACCAAGGCAACACCAGAACTACTCCAATTCAGTATCAATGGATCACAGTGAGTTCCTGTGTAAACCACGTCCACACAATACCACTGGGCTGTTCTCTTCCCAGGAGCAACTGCAGTGTACAACCAAGGCAACACCAGAACTACTCCAATTCAGTATCAATGGATCACAGTGAGTTCCTGTGTAAACCACGTCCACACAATACCACTGGGCTGTTCTCTTCCAAGGAGCAACTACAGTGTACAACCCCCAAGACAGTAGTTTCCAGTGATGTCATCTGGCTAATCCAGCACCGGGACCTCACCCTGTCAAGCAGCTTGGCCTGCACGGTCAATCAGTCAGCTAAGTTCGGACAGATCAATATCTGCACTTCACGGCCATCTTCAGATTAGATGCTTATACAAACACTGCCTCATCAGTGTCACAAAGAAGGGATTCTGACCACTTCATTGCCGATACTTAAATACTGTGATCCAAAATGACCTAAAAATACTTTTCAAACTTAGAAGAAAAATCCCATAAAAAATCCTGAAAATATCATTTGATATCGGCAGCTTGACCAATTTTGATCTCAGATGAATGATATATAGCAAATTTAAATTGATATGAATGATCTTAAGGCAACATTGGGAATTGAGTCAAGCAACCACAATTGCCTTGGAGTGAGTGAGTTCGGTTTAACGCTGCTTTTAACAGTATTCCAGTTATGTCGCAGCGTGTCAGCTTAACATGGGAGGAAAGCCCGAAATGATGCAGGTCTCAGACGTTTACCACTTTGGTGAAACCCACCAGCACGGGTATGGTGCTGACAAACCTAGAAACAATTGGGGTGAACCGGGATTCGAACCCACAATCATTTTCTGGCATGCCCAAGGGACGCAACTCAGCACATCGAATCGCTGCGCCTTAGACGACCGGGTCTCCCGTGCCCCCCAATTGCCTTGGATCTACTGGCTTGCAACACTATGGCACTAAATGAATGATACAAATCTTGGCAGGGTTGTTTTCAGAGTGAACTTACCAGTAGACAATGGACACACTCCGGGCCACCGACAAGCGGTGTGAACTGTCCTAGCTGCTCCGCCAGCGCCAATAAGACCTCGTCTTCATCATATATCGTGTCTGAAACAGAAGTTGAAGTTCAACCAACTGGCACAATGCCCCTAGCCACCACGCTCTATAGGTAAAAATGAGCAAATCTGTGACAAAAACTGTTGAGTCTACATGAAGGAGCCTGTCAGTAGATCTTAATCGTTAATGTTGACAAATGGACTTGTATTAGCAAAACTTACTCATCTGGAAGAAATTTTCCTAGACTCTGGCTTCAGACTAGTGGCTAAATTCTCAAGACTTTATTCAGGCAGTGTCACAAATTCAGCATGTTTGTTGTTTGTTTGTTGTTTAACGCCGCCCTCAGCAATATTCTAGCTATATGACGGCGGTCTGTAAATAATCAAGTCTGGACCCATCTTCCTGAGGCAAGTTAACTGACTATAAAAGTTACGCGTTACACGCTTGGGGACAGCACACATACACGATACAAATTAAAAATCACCTGAAACAACATTTCAAGCAAAATTATTTTCAAAAAACTGTCTTACATTGGTGCAAAAATACCCAACCAAAGTAAATAGTTACTAAATACTTGGGCTGTTACAATTCACTCGCGTATTCGCTGAATCGAACCGTAACCATTCAGGAATTGAATTTGTTATACATGGCAACTAGAATCGAATATTTATGAATATGCTATCATGTATATTTACATACCCTGTACCTAAAACATATTATATGCAGATTTCTTTCAATGACAACACTGTAATAATATTTAATTTGATAGTATTGTTTTCACTGGTCATTGTCGCATTTGAGCAGATACTAGTACCTGGATACGTGCAGTATATAAATGTATAATTTATCAATAATTAACAAACCATGGCAAATAAATTATGATGTTATTGTTTCACTGAATATAATAAATAATACATAAACTGCTGACTTGTTATTGTAATTGTGAATTAATATTCGTATTCGTTACCCTATATTCGTGATATTCGCCTCATAGTGTATTTGTTGCAGCCCTACTAAATACCCAAAGAAACTGTCAATACCCAATGTGAATGACAACGTAAATACTCAAATTACAAGGACTAAAGAAATTATTTGGAGCCCTGATCCCTGATAATGTCCTCCCAGATTTCATGACAAAAAGCTTTAGTGTAATCACACAGACACGAGAATGCAACAATTCCACTCAAGGACTCCCGACAATTAGCCAGGAATCAATAGCAGCTTACAGTCTTATCAGTACCGAACTGTTGCCCTCTGCATGCAATAACACACAGTTTCAAGTGAGTTCAATTTCTAGGACGTTGACAGATGGGTCATACAAAACGTCCTGAAAAATCTGGTAATGGTGAAACAGCCTGTCCTGAAAGTTTGTAAACTCATGAAAATATCTTTGTGCCATCTGTGTTAAAATCCTGTAAAAGCAGGGTTAGAAACTAACAGTTTTTGTCCACTAGTCCTTATAATGATAACATATAGCAAAACCCTAAAAATGGGCCAATTTCTACTAGTCCTTAGGATACCTTTACTATTGGGCAGTTTGGTAAGGACAATAGAACTAGTGCCAATTTCTAACGCTGAAAAGGGCAGAAAAATATAAGCTTCAAGAGGCCAGAATTACAGAATAAATTGTATCTGTTGTGTCCGATGAAGTGTGAGTGAGTGAGTATGGTTTTACACCGCTTTTAGCAATATTCCAGCAACATCACGGCAGGGGACACCAGAAATGGGCATCACAGATTGTACCCATGTCGGGAATCTAACCCGGGTCTTCAGCGTGACGAGCGAACGCTTTAACCACTAGGCTACCCGACCGCCCCGTATAAAGGCCTTAGAGATGGAGTCTCATATCTGAATTTGTTTTTGATATCAAACAAAAGGCTGTTGTTATCTACTTGGCAGTGAGATTGTCAAATCTGTCAGTGGATCAAAACCATTATCTCTGCCCAGTGTCGAGAAACTGACATCATATATCACCACTGGTCTCAATTCAAGGCCACTTGTCAGTGTTCCCGCTGGCCTTTGAAACTGCAAGTCCTTGTGGACTGGCAACTCTAAAAATTACCAGCCCCCCTATTTTTTGCCAGTCCCAACTTTCAACAAATAAAAAAATGTATGAAAATTATTTGGTTTTAATTCTTCCAATATCATGTTCAGTGCAGAGATGTCATCTCTGAAGTAACTAAGTTAGATCTTTACATCATTCACACAAACTTCAGTCACAATTTTGTCTCTTTTTTTAAAAAATATTTCGAGACGAAGTCGCTACAAATGGATATTTAACCTAGAAATAGACAAGGGGAAACCCTGATGGCAACAAACAAGCTGATTTTGTACGAAAAATGTACTTATATGAATATCACCAATGTTTTGTTCAACAACAAAGATTCATAAGGTACTTTATTTGCCGGTCCACAGGGACTGGCAGTCACATGAATTACCGGTCCATGCCTAATTTTACCGGTAAAAACCTGGTAAGCACCGGTAAACAGGAACATTGACTTGTCATGACTCACGGTCATGACTCATGGTCAGAGTCACTAAAGAAGCCCTACAACACCATGGCTCTAAAATTAGTCCGACTGTTGGTTATACTATAGGGGAGGTGAGGTGAAATGATTGATAGATAGATAGATAGTGCTTTTTCACTTGAACTCGTCTGTTATTTATCAAAAGCAAGAGATGCAAAACGAGTGAGTAAGTTGAGTTGGGGTTAACGCCGCAGTATTCCAGTTATATCACTGTGTGTCAGCTTAATGTGGGAGGAAAGCCTGATGCTTTTACGGCAAGCATGGGTTGCTGAAGACCTATTCTACACTGGAATCTTCACGGGTCGACAAATCTATAGAATCAAGCACGAATAGCTGTGGTAAAACGTCTGTTAAAACCCAAGTTTTGTCTGCTAGTGATGATGTGTGCGAGGACAAAAAATATAATGAAAACGGTCGACTAGGTCAGTGCAACATCTATATCGTTAAGTTTGAAAGATTTCGATTGGCTTTGATTTAACAGAGGAAAGAACAATGTGACTCGTTGTTTGAGCTGCAAATCCAGAATTTGCTGGAACAACAGATTTTGTAAAGGGTTGTTGTGATTTTATACGAGAAACTATTGTCACACATTCAAAATGCCAGGCACAGACCAAACCATGCAATTAAAATTTAATTGCAACCATGCAATTAAAATTTAATTGCAGACTCTCTCAGCATAGTGTAAAGTACCCATCCTACATGTGAGTTAAATGTCCATAATCTTTATATTGTGTTATATTAAAATACTATAATACAGTATTTTTGAAATTCTTTTAACAAGGAAATTAAATGTAT